AGAAAAGAAAACAACTTGTATATATAGTTTTCAGTTTTACGTCTGAAAATGACCGTATAAAGGGTCGAAATATTACAAAAATAAAAAGTAAAATGAAGTTCAAAACAGCTGCATTAATAATTAAGTTTTTGATTAATAAGTCGTTGCCCGCAAAGCATATTATCTTTAACTTCTTTTGGAGAAGAATACTTTTATTTAAATTTTGTCTCTAAATTTTGTCTTAAATGTTTTTTCCTACGATAATTTTCATATTTTACAATAAGTACAATATTCGTTTATTTGCATTGGCGTTTAATTTCGTATCAACGAACAAAACTCTTGGTTCCAAATTTTAATCGAATAAAGCTACAATATCATTACATGTTTGCTTTCATAAAAAAAAAGAAGTTATTGCACTATCATCACAGGAACAAAGTCGTTAGGCAATAGATCACAGTTTCTCCGTGAAGCAATTAAAATAAAAAATAATCTGACTGTACTTTTGACTATTTTTCTGGCATATACATATCTTTTCTCAAACAACACAATATAAGAAAAAGAAAAGAAAAGTAGATAACAAATTGAATTAACAATGAGTTTAACTGACAATACGGTGTGTGACTATATCTGACATAAAATAGCAAACAAAACAATGAAAAAAAATGAATAAAAAGGAAAGATTTGAGTTTTTACTTCCAGCTTTGATATGAATTACTATTCATAAGATATTCATGTTTTACGTTAAAAAAAAGCTCGTAAAACAAACTTTCAACAACAAAAAAAATACTTTCTACTACTTCTAAATCGAATATGTTCTAGAGTACAAAATAGTAACAAAAGATGAAATACCTATAGATAGATCGAAGAGTCGAAAAACTGTATATCAATGTTCAGTTGTAGATGGTGCACAAAAATGTAGCCAAAATGAAACTAATTTACAATCATTTTGTTTAATCAGAGAATTAAGACTAAAAAAAGTTTTATATTGTTTGGTTATGGTCGATATTTGAGAACTTGTATGCCAAAACATCCGCTATTAATCAATAACAAATCTTTCTTATTCAATACACACAATTGTGTTTGATCTGTATATAAATGAATTCTATGAATTATTTCAACGTCATTATTATCGACAACTTTGATTATCCATAATTTTTTTGTTTGTCCAAGAATAAAGAAAACATTCGATGATTCTAAACATTTCATACTTGTAACATCCTCTAAAAATAAACATATAACAAAATAATGAGATGAACTGTTCAAATATTTAACGTATGCATACCACAATCAGTAAGATCAATTTTTCTATATAATTCTAATGTTTCAATATCAAATAATAACAATGAAATACTATTCGGATTTGTATATGGATGATAATAATGATGATCATCAATCATTCCTAAGTGTTCTTTTTTAATTGTTAAACCAATCAGGGAGTTTGTACAACAAAACGAATGAATACCAACTAAAAATAAATATTTAATATATAAAATAAGCTAGTAACGAAAAGATTTGATAGAAAAACGTTTTATAGCTACAAAAATCAAAACAAAATGAACAACCTACCGGGTAATCGTTGAGTCAAACTATCAAATATTTTCGTCAAATTAAAATTAGAATCATACACTTGTAGAACGGAATGTCGATGATGAACAGTATAAACAAATATAGACAATTTATTACATGCTATACGAACAAATTCGCATTCATTTAATTCAAAGCATAATTTAACAGCAGCTGGATTTGACACTATAGTACATTGAAATTGAAATATGGCAAAACGAGTTGCAATCAAATATTGATCAATTAATGGACACCTAAATAAATAGTGGAAAATGAGTAAACATCGTATACACACATGAGACTATTGTTTAGATTGAAAAGTCTCGTTTATAGTTACCAAAGATGGAGAGTCTATGGATATGTTCATGAAATTATTTCACACTAAAAAGTTTATGAAATTTTCATCATGAAAACATTTTAAACATTCTTTTGTACTAATTTAGAAAAGTACCTTGGGTCCAGAATAACATTGCTTGACAACCGCGTTTTAACCGCGATAAAACTTGTTTGTACTAAATAATGGATCAGCAGTAAGAGCTAGTTCAAGTTTTTAGTTTTAAACTTTTCCGTAATTAAAAAGCGGTTGCAAAACAAAATTTACTAAGTAAAAAGAAAATTGAGTTTAAATGTCAGACTCATTAATCTGTGTACATGTATCAGATATCTTCTCTTCATCGTTCTCTTATCTCTGATTCATTTTATCTGTTTTTTGTTTTCATAGAATTGGTATAGGGGAAAGTCTTACATTTATAACAGTGGAAATTTTAGAAAAAAAATAAGAATAGCACGAACGAAGATAAAATAAGCTGTTAAAAACTTTTTGTCAATTTTAACGCATGGAAATTTTTCAAACTTATGTATAGTGTCTGTCTATGTGACAGTTACTCACCAACAAACATCAATGATACGTGCTGTTGGCCATTTATAATTACTAAGAAAATAACCTGTAAGTGAAACAAAATTAATATAATTGGCATCATTATTATAACATAGTACATTTTGACCATCTGTTGCTATTAAATATGTAATATATTTTGTACGAATTAACTGTCCAAATTTGTATTTTGTTACATCAACATTTGAAATTATTGATAAACATGAAAGTGACGTTGTCGATGAATTGAAAGTTGAATCTGTTGAATGTATTTGATTTAGAGATGAAATATTTGTTAAATCGAGACTATTAGTATTGACGAATGATTGTACGATTGATAACGTCGGTACTTTTCCCCGTTGTCGAGTTTTTGTTTGTTTTTGCTCTTTGTTAAGGAGTTGTTTATTGTTTAGAAGGCTGAATCGAAAATTTAAAATATTGTCGATATTTTCTGTAGGAACTGATATTGATATTATAGGCATAATGGAATTCAAACGGGTGATAATATTCACTAGTTTCTCAACATATTCTAATACTTTTTTTATATGATATCTACTTGCACATTGTTCTGTTGGTGATAAAATCAGACGATAATATTCAGACTGTTGAGTTTTTACTTCATTTCTTAACTGAATTAAATATCTCTAAAAGAAAAAATCACTAGTTCACTCTACGATTGAATAGTGTCGACTTATATTTGAGCTGTCGTAGACCAGCGCATCAACACAAAAGCGATATCATTCTTTTTTCTTTACCTCTGCACTCGATACTTCATTTTTCACAATATTTTGACATTTTTCACGAAATTTATTCAAATTACTAATAGCAAGATCGACATTTGTATTTAATATTCGTAAACAATCTATGTTTTCATTTTCAATCAATTTTTGTTTATCAGTGATATCTTCTGTTAATTTTGTTCCAAAATGTGAAAGAATAGTTACAAGTTCTGATACTAATTCATAGGATCCAATATGTGCATTTTGTGAATAATGAGACGTCAATAGAGAATCATCAAATATATTTTCAAATGAATAGCAAGAATCATTTAATTTATACATTTGCTATATTTGTTGAGTGTAAAATTGAGCATCTGACGATTTATTTGTTTCTCATCTTGAATAACAACGAATTATTGTTCAATGTTTAAAAAGAAATATATTTTTGAAATTATTCTATATAAAACCTTTATTCGTCTTACTAAACGAAAGTTAATACTGAATCGCACAACCAAACGAAAAACTAATAAAGCATTTCTTCCTCCTCTGTAAAGAACAAGCAAATAACAGTTGTGATTCAACTGTTCATACTGTTAATGGAAGCACTACAACTATAGGAGTCGAATACTGTGCTTTCCTCACAAAAGAAGAAAAGGAGATTTGGTCTCATCAATAACGATCATACGAAAAGATAACGACATGATCTAAATATGACGATAATTAAAATAAAAAATAAGACAAAAATAAATTTGAAAAAAAATCTTATTTACTTCGGAAAAAATAGTTATCATAGTTTTTCACTATGGAAATTGTCATCAGTTAGAGTTACAAAATAAGCAAGGGATCAAATGTAACAAAACTTTAATGAATAAATCACGAAAATATCACCATGATAATGAATAATAAACTCAAGTGAACGTTATAAATTGAGGCCACATTTTTATTTTATAATATTTCTGTTTAATTAAAGACGTTTGAAACGATTCAAAGTCTGGTCTACAAAATAAATATCATATGAACTTTCTCACATAATAGTTAGGATTTTACCAAATATAACATTTTTCTTCATCATCCAGTTTAAGGTTACGGTTTCCTATTTAAAAGACGTGATAAAAATTAAAAATACATGGTCCAATCGAAAGTTTAATGAGCTACATTTTGGTAAACAAGAATTTTCTAACGACAGTTTTATTCAGTTTAAAATTTTAATTTACACTTTAATTGATATAAAATGTCGCCGATTATTATTGTGAAAAGTTAATTTTGCTAGTGCAGAATCTTCTCTTTCTGATGTGATCACACTGATCATCGTGCCACTTTTTAACAATACAGCGAAATTAGTGTAGATCAGATAAAACAAAGTGATTTTCTTCATATTTAGTATATAAAACAGGATAGAAATCAAATTTTGCTAAGTGAAAGACCACTTTGATCTCACAGAGACCACTAATCCGACGAAAAATTGCTAATCGGTGATTTTTGTTTTCGATGAGCAAACGATACCGATTCAAGTCTTGAGAATTCTTTCTTCATTTTACTTTTAGGCAGGTAGTGCTGCTAGTCGATACTCGCACAGACAAAGCTGAAAATTAATGTTGTGGCTCAATCAATAGACATGCTTCAGCGAGTCATCGAAGAATTTTCGAAATTTCCAATAAATTTTGTTATTCTTATATAGATATGATATTTATGTCTGCTTCTTTCTTTCTTTTTTTATTTGTTTGACGGGATTCATTGGATTACAGGTCGGGAACCTTTAGTGATCTCTCACTTTACATGAATAATTACGTTGAGTTTGCAGAACAAAACCGCGATAAAAATATCACACAATTACCAACTATTCTGACATAGTTGTTAATCTTCTATTTTTCTCTAAACTGTAACATAATAGACGTCTGACATTCGAATAGAGATCTCTATTGGCATTTGCTTCACATTTGTCTCATTTTTTCACAGAAAAGATAACAGTTATATTCTCGCATTTTGTTTTTCAACTGACAAAATGGCGGAACAGAAAGAAGAAGAAACAGTCCGATATATTTAAAAATGAGTGGCAGAGTAGCCTAAAAGTGTAAACATATCTTGTTGAATAACTGGCCTCTTTTCTCTTTTCTGTTTTTCGTGAAGAAAAATGAGACAAACGTGAAGCAAATGCCAATAGAAATATATCTCTATTCGAATGCTAGAGGGCTAATATGAGAAACACAGTCGGCTATAACTGCGGTTAGTTGATGGCTTACTTTCTAGCAAACTCTGACTTAACTAGGCAATCCCATCATCATGAATGTTATCAACATTTATTGTATTGTTTAAAAAACCAATGATAAGTGTAGATTTCAAACTTCTTTCAAATCATATAGAAAATACCTTCCTCTTTCAAAATGAGGCATCTCTGAGCTACAGAGCTTGTTTAGCTGCGACGTTACGGATAAAATTTTCAATTTTAAAAAGACTGATCCAAGCGACACCTGTTGTGGAAAGGGCTTGAAAATTAATGAAAATAAAAGTAGGAAAGTATTTTGTTAACAAATGGTACGACAGTCCATATAGTCTCGTTCGACAGAGACTATTAGCGGGCCGCTAGCGAAACAATTGCTCCTGGAAAAAAATATCAAGAGCAATAAGCAGTGATTACACTGAAGAATTATGCTTTGCAGCAGTGTATTTTCTTTAAAAAAAAAGAACAAATACTTAATTAAAAATTACGTACGTCTCTGGGAAGTACATTTCTGCATGTCCTACTCTAAAAAGTTTATTGACCTGCGTTTTATTTTTATTACTGTTTAATTTTAGATGGTCATGGAAAAGTAATTTATTAAACACAAAGAGTTCTTAGAATAATTCATCCCTTCTTGACTTGGAGGATGGACAAAATCGATTTTCAGCGACAATTAAAATCTAATTCTGTTTGGTCAGATGGTCTCAGGATATCATTAGGAGTCTTATTCAATATATGTTTTGAAATGTTGTTTCTATGATAATGTAGTATGCATGAATTATGGTAAGAATGTTGTCCGATCGATAATGTGCGATGTAAATAAGCTTAGCTAAACCACTTTGAATAGGAGAGATTAAATAAAGAAATGAAGAATGGACAAAGACAAGTACCATTGTCAGAAGATCAGAAGCGTTTCGGACTTAGTTGCAGGCACCAAACATGCTTGTCAAAACTTTCATCGATTTAGTTCAAATTTAAAGTGCGAAAACCTATCTATTCTTTTATCATTTTAGTCTTACTCTGACAACTTGTCCTTCACTATAAATCGATTCACTTTATTTTACTTTACAGAACTAAAATATAGTAGTACTACTCTATGTGGTATATATATATATATATATATGTGGTAGTACTACTCTTACTAATACATGTGAAAGGAAGAGAGATAAGAGAAAAAGAAAACCAAAAACGAAATTGAATAAAACAGGAAAAGAAATATACTGTAAAAAAAGACAACAGATCATTCTAACGCAAGACAAGTACCAATACAAAAGAGGTTTGATTTTTAAAATTCAGTTATTCAGTTTGTTAGAGTATAGAATAAATGAGCATCAGACCAAAAAAGTGTGATATACTTGATCGAGCGTACTATAGCAACGAAGAAAAACACTTTGTTTTACATGAAAATATAAAAAAATCTAACTAATTTTTGATATGGTTATTTTGTAAATGCTGTAGGGAAAGAGGATTTGCATAAGTGATCTGTATTTATAAACCAGTACTTTACGCCGTCTCTTTAAAAACAAAAAAAAACAAGTATTCGTCAAGTTGATTGCGAAAAATTTCTTTGTTCTTTTTCAACATAACATTTAACTAGTTGATCGATATCAACAAATTGTGCATGAATCATTTGTACATGATTTTCATTTGTATAAATTTGATTCGGATTATTTATTGTAGACTGTTTGCTTTCCACTTTTGAAGTTGATCCTTTATTGGATCTATCTTTTTTATATCTGATCATTAGACGTCTACTCACATAATCGCTTAATAGAGAGACACTACCAACGCCAACGTAATCATTTGAACTTGGTAAATAAATTTCATATTGTAATCGTAATGCTTCATATAATTGTAACTGATTAGCAGAACAATTTCTAATTCTAAAAGGTAGTTTAAAATTTTCATATAAACGATAGATTAAACGTGTTAATTCTAAAAATAGATCATCTAAACTTGATGTACGATTAAATTTATAAGGTGACTGATCATTTAAAACGTTTTTAATTCGCTGATTATATTCAACATATTCTGGATTTTTTTCTCGTTCATTCATAACCGAATCCAACGTTGGATTCACAGGTAAATGTAGTTCAGTTAACTTTTTATGTGAATCATCTAATAGAGGATCAGCAATATTTTTTAAATGTACATCGCGTAAGGTTGTCATTGCTAAAAGTTGAATTTTATTTGTCTGTTTATTCTTTATATCATAACATGGTCCTTGTGAATAGACAACATAGGGTAAATCAGACTCATGTATTGAACGTCGAACAAATGGTGCTAATAATGAATCTAATGAACCTAGACCTTTCATTATAAATGAATGACTACGTGAATCTTGTTCATTCTCAAATAATGTCAATACTTGGCGGCTATCATTGATGTTATCGCCTTAATTAAAAATAGTACGGATTAAAAGTAAGAGGATGAAATATGTTTATGAAATAAGTCTTACCAAGTGCTTCACATATAAACGGTTTAACAACACTCATCGAATGTACTTCTTCAAAGCCTAGATTATTTAGATCGTTGCATATTGTTCGAATTAATTCATGTTTTCTTAATGGTGCCATTCCCAACCAATATGTTCCAAATGGTGATGCATCATTATTTTCTAAAACATGGCAAAGTTCATTCCACGATTTACTATTAAATGCATGTTTAACAACAGGCAATGGTGATTCATATAGAACAATCCCACTTTCATTGTGCGGCACAGAGATATGCAATGCGTTTGGTAAACGTAAACAGGCAACTGTAAAACGATGATCAAATAAACGAAATTCTTCACGTATCTTATCATATTGTTCTTTTAATTGATTAAATTCTGTCATTTCTAATGGATGATCTTTTAATATTTGTGCTGAAGGTGATATGTTAACAGAGTCGATCCATGCTTCGTCAACACTTTCAACCATTTCAGAATTGTGAAGTAAATTACTAAATAAAAAATTAATTTTTAAGTAAATAAACGCGATGAAAGGGTTAGTATGTGCAAGATTCAGGAATGGTCAACTTTAAAAGTTAATCTCTCACCGTCTTATTTCCGACTTGACGACTATTTTATCTTGTTCTGTTGCAACTAAATTTGACTTTTTTTGCTTTCTCTTTGGGACCTTTTGATCTGTACCTGTATCCGATAATGCTTGTGTTTGCTGTTGTTCCTCTTGTTCATAATATTGTTTTCGTATTTTTCGAAATTCTGCTCTTTCTATTCGCCATCGATCATAGTCGGATGCCAAACTATTAATATCGACCATTATTTGTCGTTGTGAACAATTTTCTTTCAATAATTCAATATCACGAAATAGTTTGACATAATTCAAATCTGGATGAACACGTGTTGGATAATCACTACCATTTAGCGGATATAAAGCAGATCGAATATGATCATTTGTTCGAGCTGACATTTCTTCATTTGGAAACGTGTGTATATAACGATATATATGACATGGACATTGACATGATGATTTTGAAAATAAAGTAGTTGATAGTCGATTGATTCGAAAAATGTAAGCGAAGCGCATTGTATCTAAAACTTAAATAAATTTCGTTTGAAAGGTTACGGTAAAGCAATCTTATTTTATCTTTTTGTTTTACTTTTTTCATGTTTCTTTTAGATTTAAAGAAAGATGAGTATCTAATTCAAGTTTACGGAAAAATATTTGGAGTTGTTAGCTTTAATGCTTCTTTCCATAGTGTCTCCATATTTTGCTTTCAAGATTTACCTTCATAGACGATGTAATATCAAATACATATGTTTTAAATATGAAAGAAAATGAACGAGACTTTTTCAACATGTCATCAGAAATGTCTGAATTTTCATTTGGAAACTTTCGTTAGAAAAATTTTGCAATGATTTAACTTTACATAGTTTATATTTGAACATGGATGTGAACTCATTCGCAATAAGATGCATAAAGAGACGGTGTAAATAAAAAAACGAATAAATTAGAAATTATTAGAGCACGTTCATCAAAATGGACAAAATGGTAGAATAGAGTATATGTTCGATAAATGCTCCGTCGTGATTTATTCAACAGCTTTCTCTACAACTTTTGGGAAACATCTTGTTTAAATTGCATTTAATCTTCTCCATCAAAATTCTGGTATCAAAGTCATAAAAAACAAAAGATAGTAGAAAAATATCTTCATAAAAAATAAAAAAAAAAACCAGATTATAGTATCAAAATAAAACGGGTTATTACAGCAACTTTTCTGTTCTGTAACTCTGTACCAGAACCTATTTATAGTCATAGTATGAGTAGGTCTAGATTCACCACTACTGGTGTTTAAATGAATCAAATTTTAGATTAAAACGAATCTAATGTATATAAAAGTGAAATCTGCAGAAATTCAGAAAGTGCTATTAAATGGTTGCATACTTTAGGTGTTGTACTAGTTTTACTAAAATAAATTATAAAATGCAACCACTATCCTACAATACAATCATCCACATAGTTCTAATTTATTCCACTTAAATTAATTACTTAAAGATAATTTTAACCGATTAATCAAGTTATAAAATAGATATATTCTTGTTTATTTATCTGATGATTTTTTCAATGATATTATATTACCTAAATATGAACAGAATTACAAGCGATAGCTCGCCCTTCCCTCTACCCAATATCTGTCTATATATATAAAGAAGAATGTTTGTCTGTTCTTTATGCATTTGGTCCCTGTAAGAGCTAGCGTCACCAAACTTTCCATGACATACCCTTAGGTCTGGAGGAAGGTCGAGAAGGTGAGGGTGAGAAACTCCTTGCTTTTCTCATGGCCAACTTTACGTAGCATATTCAAGAGCCGATGAAATCGAAGAAAATTTTTTGGTTAGTCATAAATATATGTCCAATATGTTTAGGTGATTAGCTTACTTGGATATGACTTAATCTCTTCGGCGTTTTTTATGCCGGCACATGATGTATCACATTTCTTCTGATGCGTGATATATCGTCATCGGAATTTTCACATCACACTATACAATGACGCTATCAAAATGTTTTAGTGTGTGCCATACATATATATAGGTTTGTTTTTCTATTGTTTTTGTATCAGAGCCATATTCACTATAGTATTTCTCATCTTCTAACGATTCTACTAATAAACGTACTCACGCACAAACAAGTACGTGAGTAACATTCAATATACACTACAAAATTTACAGATTACTAAAGTATTTTCGATTGTGACTTCAAGTGCAAATTTCTAAGGTAACTTTGTTAAAAATACACCTTTCTTAATGAATATTTCTAACCTATCCTATTTACATTAGGAATACTACAAAATGCCACCAAACCAAAAACCCTGGTGGGCAGAAGTACATCAGCTTCGAGGAGAATGGCAGCTTTCCGAGCAGCTGAGACTGCGGAACAAGGGCAGGTTCGACGCCAGGAAGATCGGGCAACTCATGCGACCTCCAGAGCAGCTAAAACTCCGGAACAGAGACGCAGTCGGGTCGATGATCAGCGTACAAGACAAGCAGCTTCTACAACAGCTGAGACTCCAACATAGAGACAGGTTCGACGCGAGGAAGATCGGACAAGACATGCGGCCTCCAGAGCAGCCGAGACTCCGGAGCCATAACTGATAGGAGACCATAACGATGTCTTTTTCTAATATGTCAGATACGTAATATCAAATTTTCCCGAGCAACGCCGGGTACTTCAGCTACTCTCCTATATTCTTTGTGGCATTCTTGATGTCGATGTTGTGCATTGCTTGTCCGATATGTCACTAACATTAGGTTTTTAATACTAAAAAAAGCTTACAGGATTATCAAATCTCATTTGATCAGCATTACGAGTTAATTAATTTAAAGAAAATTTGCCACTATAGTACAGTAGCCTATTAACAGCTTTCGAGAACAGAATAACCTTTTATAGCCTTTTAAAGGCTTATATTAAAGAAAAACACTGATAAGTGAAGATTTTCTTTTACGTTCACTCATTTTGGTTTCTTATATTCTTTCAACTTTCGTCGAAATACGAGAAATCAATAAAATTTTAAAAAAAAGTTTGATAAATTTCAATATACATCAAATGGATATGTCAAATATAAAAATAGCGTACAAAAATATAAAAAATTAAATAACACTGCAAATTCTGAAACAAAAAATGTATGTACTAAAAGTGTCGATGAAAATGAGATTTACAGATAGTAAGCGAAGGAACAAGAAATCATACTAACGTATAGCCAGTTTAACATGTTTTTCTAATAACTTTTTTTTAACCTCTTTTGTTAACGCTGATTTTAATACTTGAGCTAAAGTTGTATCAGGAAATAATCTTGGTAATACATCGATACATTCATTTTCCAATGGATTAATCAAAATGGCGGCAATTATATCTTCTTGTGCGCCAAATATATCCTAGAGATAGATAACGCATATTCTTAGTTATATTAAGGATTTTACTCAGCTAGTGTATGAGCAAACTTTGCTATAATCAAGAATAAAAGCTTAATTGTAATCATTCTAATTTTCATATAACTAATAGTTTAATGTTTGTCAAATCTGTTCTAACTAACACTGTGCAAAAAATTAAAATATTTAAACCATCTTACCTCCATTAAATATTTTACTCTGGAGCGTGATACATAGTACTTAGCTACGGATGGATTAACATCAATCGCTTTCGTTAACTGAGCACAAGATTCCTAAAAATTAAAGAAAAATATTAAACTATTTCTAATAATATTGTCGGTAAAAGTTCTGACCGAATAATGTTTTTCTTTGTATTGTTTTTCAGCATTCGTAAAAAACACATGAGATATACGTAATTTAACTTCATTGTTAGGCATGAGTTCTAGTGCTTGTTCATAATCTTGAATAGCAAATGTAATCTGTCCTTTGGCTAGAAAACAATCTAAAAAAATGATAGGAATGTCAAGAATATTCTGTACCATATAATCAAAGAAAAACACACCTCCTCGATTCATATATAATTCACATGTAGATTTTTCATCTTTAATTGCTCGATTCAACAATTCAATTGCTTCATCATATAAATTTTTTTCCAAACATTTAATTGCTGTAGCATTATAAATAAATACAAATTGTTTTTGAGCTTGTTGATATAAGCGATGTTGTTCATCATGATTTAATTTATCGAATACTAAAAGACATTCATCACTAGCTAATTCAAATTTTTTCATTTTACGATAAATAATACTCCTGTAAGAGAAAAAAATAATTGTATCTAATTATTTTCTATTTCTATTTGATCAAAGATTATGAACATATACAATAGCAAAATGTTTTTATTAAAGCTAATTCAAGATGACAAGTATCTTGCGATATGTTCATCATTAGTAAGAGTTTTAAAAGAGAGATTATTCACCTTTGAAGATGATATTCAGCTTCGATAGGATATAAATCAATAGCTAATGATATCAATGCTAGAGCATCGGTTAAACGATCAATAATACACGTGTGAACAGCCGAATCTCTTAGATCACTTGATGTTTGTTTCAGTGTAATCATCATTTTTCGTGCGACGGCATGTGTTTCATTGAGCAACAAAGCATCGCGAATATCATAGAAGCATAATGCTAGCTAGAAAAAGAGATATAAATATCTTGTAAGACAAAAAGATCAGCATGTCTTAAGGAATTATTTATGTTTGTGCTTTATGGAAGAAGAAATCGATCATAAAGAGAACTTCTTACTGTTAACTGATCCAGCTTATGATTATGAACAACGAGGAAAAAAAGAAATGTTTGAAAATTCAGATTTGTTCATTTTTTTTATTCAAACTTATCGATCACTTCAGAATGAAGTTAACTTTCATTTTCTTTTTCTAATTTTTCTTTATTCAATGAACTGATGTTTATTTGATAGAGATAATATTCAGTTTCAACATCGAGTCACGGATATATGGCATTCGTTTAAATATTGCTCGCAAATGTATTGACCGTGTAATCAGTTTTACTTTATTGCTATATATTTCAACATTATTTTTACATCGTTTGTGAATATTATCTTAGTTCGTCTGTAATATTATTTATTATCACGAGTATATACTACAAACGGTTCGCTAAATATACCCAGTGTAGCATCAACTTTCAATCAACAATTAAGAACAATTCGCATAAACGACTTATATAAAATGCAATCAGCACACTTCAGTTACTTCAACATTATACTGATGAAATGGAGAAGATTATTAGCTGTTATTTTATCGAAAAATTTTATTAAGCAATTATCGCAATTCTTTAGTGTAATGCAGAATCGAAACTTCAACGATGAATATAATTGTGATGTCATAAATAATTATAGCACAGTATATAATCCTTTAATAAGGAACTAAAATGCGATCAATTTGAAGACAGTACAAAACTGTCATTAGCAAATAAAACTGATATTCTTAGCTTGTTCATACAAAATCAATAAAACGGCAAAGGCTTCTTAATTATCCATTTTTTCCAGCAAAAATCTAAAAATTCTCTCTTACCTTGCTCTTTTCTCTATAATATAGTCGTGCTCGTACAATCAATAAATCTGGATTTTGTGGATACTGCTCAATTATTTGACTAATTAATGTTGTTGCTTCCTCTACTTTGTTTATCGCATTTAAACACAATATACTTAAAAAAGACAAACAAAAAAAAAAAATGGATAATCAATAAATAGACAATTTAGAATTTTACCTGTACAGTTGAAATGGTAAACTAAACATGTTACCAGCATTCGCTATAATACTAATTGCTTCTAAATAACGTTTCTGATCATAAAACGTTATACCATGTGTGAATTATGTTAAAGAAGACAAAAACATTATAAATTTACTTTCTCAAATTATCTAATAAATACAAAAAGGATATATATGTAACGTGAAAACAATATTTTTTCATGTAATTCTTTTTCTTCTCTATTTGTAGTTATCGTTGTAGTTGTTGTTGTCGATACGGTCGTTGCTGTTGTTGTTGTAGGTGGTGGTGGCGGTGGTGGTTGTTGTTGTTGTTCATTTTTCGCTGTTGCCTGATAAGATAAAATAATTTTTTGAAGACTCATTAAAGCACTTTGAAAATCGCATAATTCTAAATAAAGTTCGGCTCTCATTTCATAAAATTGACTATAATATGGTTTTAATAATAAACATTTATTGATGTTAACTAACGATTCTTCATAATTATGTTGTTCGAATAATGTCAAGGCTTTATCAAAGCTAAAAAGGAAATAATTAGTTTTTTTTCTAAACAATTAAGAGATACACTTACAATGATTTACAATGTTGTTGTGTTACATTCTGTAGAGTATCTTTTAATTCAGTACCTAAAACAATTCTCAATAAGATAAAATGTCGTGAAATGAAGTCACCTATTCTCAATGGACTTACCCATTGTCCAGCGTTCTGGCAAAAAATTACCATTTGGATAATGTTCATACATCTCTTCGTTTAATTCCGTTGAGAATAATTCATTCTAAAATATAATCAAATATGGATTTTAAACCGGAGATTACAGCATATACACATAAATTTTATTAAGCAATAAACACTGTTATTAGAAGAAGAAGAAACACACACACTTACTGTTTCCTTTTCTTCTTCCCCTTCGTCGCTAAAAATTATCTGTTTTTTAAAACTCTCTCTTTGCCGTATGTTGTAACAAACCGTATAACTTACGTCTTAGTAGATGTTGGCCATGAATCAGCTGTTAATTGTTGACGATTACTATCTTGACTTTCTGTCATAGAATCAAAGCTAAGAAAATGTTGACGACTCGCGCCTGCTCTGACATTTTTAACATCTTTTTTGTTTGATTTTGGCAGTGTTGTAGGATCTTTTCTATATGAGCCATGTTGAACGCTCAACTCATCATATAAATCTGGCATTGAAATATATCTAAAAAAAAGAAATTATTACGATTAATTATTTATTTTTAACAAAGATGCTAACATATATTGAACGAGCTTTCATTGGACAAAATATATCTCGTCTCATGGATTTATCTTATGTCTCAAGCCGAGTATGACACATGAAAGTATCATAACGTATTAGCAACCAATTACAAAAGAAACGTGTATACTTACCCCAGCATTTTGCATCATATAGAAAATTCCTCGTAAGCAGTATATTTTAAGTAGTGAGTAAGATAAATGACATAAAGACAAACTATATTTTAATATAACAACATCAATAACAAGAAAAGAAAATCCGTTTAGATTAAGTAATACTATTGAAGCATTATATAGATAACGCGTTTTGTTTTGTAATCTTAGAATGTCATGAGATTTTAAAAAACTATTCGGCAACAAAAACGAGTAAATAAATACGAGTTACATAGAACTAGAGTGAGAAAAAAAATAATGGTTTATTTGACTAATAAAGAAGGAAATTAATTGCCAAAAAGAAAAATATACTTCGGTTCACATGTTAATAAAAAATAAAGAACATTTTTCAAAAAATATGACTAGATATATAGGAATATATTTACCTTAATCAGTAGTTATTCTCACAAACACAAAACAGTATAAGAACTAGCAAACGTACAACAAATTAAAGCAAAGAACATTAAGCAATAGAGTAATATACATAAGAAAACCACAGAATAAAGCGGTCAACGGTTTAACTACAAAATCAACAGAATATCTGATATACAATGCAGAAATACTGATTAAAAGAATAATGGTTTTGGAATGACAAAATAAAAAAGAAATATGTATTTATATGGGAGAAATAATGAGTACATTCAGATTGTCCTAGTAAAAAGCAAGCTCTTTATTTTGGTTGTGTTTTTGTAATCGTGAGTAAAATATGTATACAAAGAATGTAATTCATAACTGTTTGCGCATGTTCTATTTCATCACATGGATTCTCACTTGAAGAAAATAAAAGTAATTGATAAAAAAGAAATAAAATCGATAATGGTCACTATTTATGAGAAAAGTCACCAGGTTACCATATATAGAAATACTCATAGTCACAACGAAAAATATAAATATATATGTTACACACATAACAACAGTAAGCAATAGGTTAATTTAGTTCGCATTCAATAGGTATCTTCGTTAATGTTTAGCAATATCTTGTTCTTCCAATCGTTTTAGTTCTTGTAATACGGGTATAGAAAGCAACATATCAGGATCTAATTTGTCCCATAAAACTTTTGTTGGTCTTGGAAACAGACGTTTTGTATAGATATATCTCTTTGGTGTAATAATTATATCCACCGGTAAATCATGTTCTTCCATCACAGCAAAATCATTGATCAATTGACTTTCATGAACAGTGGTAATAACAGTTGTTTTTGAACTAACAGCTCCTTAAGAAAAACAAGAGAAAAAAATGATAATTTTTCAATTTTAATTAACACATAACAGCCAAATTAACAAAAGTTTACCCATTTCATTCATAATTGCGTACTCTAAATCTCCATAACCTTTTCCTTTTCCGATGCGTGCGCCAGTAATAGGATTGACTACAACTGATGCTACAACAACGATATCAACATGTATCTGTTTTAACGCTTGTAATTGAATCACAGTGCCTAGTTCTGCAGCACCCGATTTACTGCTTGCCCATTCTAACTCTCGACGTTGAAGAAATTTCGGATCTAATTTATAAAATAAAGCAGAACCTAAAATCAAAAGAGAGTTATGCCAATATTAATAAAGGTGGGAAGAATAGAATGCATACTTAATGAAGGTGTTGGAGTCAATAGAACTTTATTGTATAACAATGTTAGATGTCTAAGTGGTTCTTGTGCCAGTGATGGATTTACTTTAATGACACGTGCTTTTTTAAAACATTCTAGTCTAACAAAATTATCAGCAGCTACTTCTGAATATCTAAAATGAGGTATTCTTCCATGTGCTGGTCGTGGAAAGCGAACTTCATTTTTCATTTCCATCAAATCCCATATTAACTACAATGAAATAAAATGAAGAATAATAATTGTTAAACGTTGTTCTATAACGACGATCTTACCTGTCTTGCTTTTGCTTTGGATAATTTTATATTTTCATTGTTATTTAAATTATTCATCGTACTTAATGAAAATGGTTGACAACGTTGTTTTAACCATGAATCTATTTTAACTAGAACGTCACTGACTGCCTTAACTTTAAGAACATTATTACATGAGACAAATTCACCGTAAATATCTCGAATACATATCCATTCATCAATATAGTCACGTCGTTGATGTTTCATTCTATGTGGATATTTTGTGGGAATATTTTGTCGATTATCTTTACTATCGTTGTTGTTATTACCATTTGTCTTTTGTTCATATAAAAATGGACTTGGATAACCCACTGAATTACATGAAACTGATGAATTATAATCAACATTTAACGCACATATACTCAAATCAGATGTTGGACCAGTTGAATAAAACATACAACGATGTTTAAAATCGAGACGTTGTTCAATCATTGATAATAAACGATCATGTATCGGAGATAATGGTGTTAATGGCAATACTTTTGATGGTGAACAGGAATCTTTTTCATTGACTGGTGAACTATTTTCTAATGATGGTGAACTATTTTTAGTTGCTTCATTCTCTGTAGCAGTAATTTCTTGTGATAATTCGAGTAATATTTGAGGGCGATCTATGTCCAATAAACCACAAAGAAAATTAGATGAACGAATAATCTCACAAACGGTTCGAACAGAATTAGCTGTTAACATTGTTACTTCATATGGACTAAGAAAATAACGATCTTTTTTTCTTGTAAAATCATAATGAAGTATCATATGTGGAATTTCTTCGATCATTGTAACAGGAAAAAACATAAGCTTCATCGTGACGATTTACCACCACGATAAGCTATAAACAATAGAATTAAATTAGCATTATAGAACACTTAATACGACTGTCATAATCGATGTTCGATTAGTCTAAAAGTAAAGACGAAGATCAAGACTAGAAATTCAAGAGAGAGTTTTGAAATACAATTTTTTTAGCTGTAGACTGTATAATAGAAAAATGAGATGATGTGCTATCTTCTCCATATAATAAGTTCAAGTCCTTCAAAAAAGTTTAAGAGGATCTAAGTTGGGGGTTCTTCTAAGAGGGTTTAAGTTTAAGTCCTTCAAGGCCTTCAAAGTCGTTCAATCTATCTGAAGTTTTATTTATCAGTTTCACATTCCAAAAGTAACATCACAAAGAATAGTAGAAAAAAATCAAGGAAAGAAAAGAGGAAGAAAAAAGATCCCAAACTTTTTCGACAAGGTAATAATAAAAAAAAAAAATCGTCTAGGATGCATACACGATAGAAAAGCATTTAAAACGAGTAAACATCATGGCTGAGTTTCATCGTTAACAGCAGGCAACAATAATATACCTAATCTGAATTTTGACAAACAAGTAACATTATATAATATTTAGTTAAAAAAAGAGAACAACGTAGAATCTTTGAAGAACACAAAAGTTTTTTAAAAAAAAAGCGGATCGTCGTTTATACGATAAAAGAAAAATTTTGGCATAAAAAACCGATGTATAGATCCAACAAGTGATAGCACTGAGATGGAAAAATTTTAAAAAATTTTGATAGGGATGATAAAATAAGATGTTTTTTTTCAAGTATGTAAATGTCCAGTTAAAAAGCGAACCAATTTTTTTAAATCACAATATAATGATTCACTTAGATAAAATTGTGGTTGAGAATAGGAATAATTTTCATTGAATTGATTAAAATTCGGCAGATTGATTAATATACGAAATAAACATTTTTCTTTTAAAGTTAATACCCAACGTGGCCGTTGTAATTCTAGACTGATACATAAACGTATGAGATCATCAATTGTTCGAATTGACTGCTGTTGCTGTTGAGATTTCCATATATATTTAGTATTCACTGTTTTTGTCATCGTTTTTGGCAATGATGAATAAAATGGATGTTGTAATATATTAGTTAATGATATACGTTTATCAGGTAAAAATTGAAACATCTTTTCTAGTAAATCATATAGATTTTCTCTAGTATAAGATGAGGATTGTTCAGATACACACTGAATAGGTGACAATTGTGAAAGTATACTTGTTAACATATAACCTAAACGTAGTTGATTACTATCAAAATCAATGTTACTAAATGCTTGTTTTATGTGATACGGAAAGAATTCGAAAATAGGTAATGTTAAACCGCCAACGTATTGTACAATACAGAATAATTGCTGACAAACATCATCATTTGCTGGTTGAAATAATACACTTCCATTATGCATCAACATTTCAACAATAATACACGCTATAGACCAAACATCACATTTTGAATAATACAACTGATCATTTAAACGACTAGAACGAAAAGAGAATGCTTTACATTAAGATTAATTAATACATTATGTTCATGTTTGAAAGATTTCATTCTTAGATAGATTCATTTTTGATCAACTAAATATCTTACTAATACATCGAAAATATAAGGTTAAATCACAACATCTGTCAAGGTCGACTTTAACAATTTTTTTTCTGACCGATAAATGTAATCTATGTTTCTTACCATGTTTGATAACTCTGTTCTAATATCATCTGGATCAAGTTTTCTGGAGCATGTCTAAATAAAATAAATTGTGTACAAAAATCAATAATGAATAAATTGCACAAACTTGTCTAATTTTTGTGAAAAATTCTTACCTCCATAGATGATGATATTGTAAACTCGCGCCATTAAATTTGGTTGTGGAAATTGTTGGTGAACATAATCGTACATGATCTTCTTTTGTCAATTCAATATTTGTTGTGTACCATGGCGTTAGCGGACATAAACCATGTTCTTGTAAATATATTGTACCACTAATGATTTGTGATGAAATATGATATATACGATGTAGAGAGAAAGATGATGTTTCAATGGCATTTCTTAATGATCCTTTTAAACAGCCGGTTATCGAATATAAACAACCATCAGCAAGATACCAATATAAAACTTTTCGAACATTAATGTGCGATAATTGACTTGTTAAAATAAGACGATCATATAAATATGATATATATTGTTTTGTAATTGTTTTTGACTGTAATGAAAGATATTTTGTTATATGTACTTGTTGTTTTAAAAGTGGATCATTGGCATTCATTGATGGTGTATCGATTCCGCCATGAAAGAATGTACCATGTGTCAAATCGCGAAGTGGAATATATTCACGAGGTAATGTAAAGGCTAATATCACACATGGTTCACTCTGATTGTTATTACTATCATTTCCTTGTTCTTTAATACGATGACGTTTAAAACGTGTAGGCCTAAAAATCAATATAAATTATTTTTTCTAATGCAGACATTGTGTTTGAACACAAAACAGTTTTCCTTGTATCCTTAACGAATCTAGTCACAGATTTCTAGATAGCATTTTATCTTACATTTCTCTGATGTCCCATAGAAGTCTTCCATCATATTTCCTAGACTGCTGTCATAGCTCATAGAATGACATCAGAATTGAGTGTGAGAACAAGTTTGACAACTATATTGGTGAAAGATATTATAATATGTGTTTTTCGTGTAGATAGGACTGCTGTCACGAAGAGATCATTAGTGGGAGCAAAATCGCCATCAGAGGTGCAGAATCTAATCTACCCATTTGTGCCGACGGCCGTCGGGGGAAAAAAAAATTTTTTCGGGGAAAGTTTTTAAGGTTTTGGAAAAACGAAAAATTATGTTAGCCTTTAACGACTATCTCCTTTTTTATGTTCTTTCAAAAACTAACTGCTCTCAATTGTATTAAAACGTTTACGTCAAGAACAAACAGCGAAAAAAACAGCACCAGACATGTGTGATTAAACAGAAACAGTAGTTTTAGCAACAATAAAATCGCATTGTTTTGTTTTCACTTGTGTTTCATGCCGAGGAAATTTTATTATAATCTTTTACCGTCGGGGAAAATTTCCTAATCTCACGGGTAGATTCTGCACCTCTGATCGCCATGAAAACTGCGTGAAAACCATTCAAAATGCACGAAATGTTTTTTAGTTCTGCTTAGAGAAAACGCCGATTTTTCCAAGACGGTGTGAAATTTCCCACTTATGACAGTCCTGAACTAACTGACTTTTATAACATATTTTGGGAAAAACTTTCATTATTAATCACCATGCCCATCCACTCGAGACGACCAACTAAGTACTTCCTGACAGTGGCCTAAATGTAATCTCAATGTACCGGTTCAGTTTCGTCAATTAAGTGCGGATATGTAAAGAATCGAGTAACATCAATCGGAAAAATTAGTAAGACAAGTCATGTTTTCTTTTAAGTTCTGTTACTCTTATAATTTTGTGCTCAAACGCAATATCAGCTATGATTTGTACGTGCGAAGTAGCAACAAACAAGTCCCTGTTGATACATGAACTGATGTCTACTTTGTAAACTCGAAAGTCTATAATTTTGTCATTTTGACATGTGTCTCATATCTATTAGCAACAAACTCATTGGCTGCTTTGAATTTCTTTAAACAACAAACTGCAATAATGCAGTTTGTTGTTGATAAGTATAACGTTATCTGAACTATTGACATTTATCAATCTGGCAACTGTGATAATTCATAATTCGTCAATATGAATCTAAATCTTGTTAAAACACAATCATGATAGACATTTACATCTAAATATTCTTATTTTAATATTTATTCATCGACCACATGTTTCAAACATTCTTTTTCTCTTTCAAAAGGATTATTAGATTTGTGTATTACTTATACATCGTAAACTGTGAAACTGCGAATCATATTTCAATTAAAATTTATTAGTTTCATCTATTAAAACTGAAAAACATTACTTGAAAAACAATAAAACAATTTTCCTACTGGATTCAAGTTGATAACAACTGATTTTACTCTATTTAGTTAAACAAGTGAGAACTTACCACATTCGATATAGTTTAATGATACACTGGATCGAGAAATGATGGTTTTCAGTTCTTCATTGGAAATCTAAAATATTCTATAAAATGTTTAATACAAGTTGAATAATGAAAGTTGTTTTCTCAAACTGACACGAGATTTATGTTATGAGAATTAAAATAAAAATTTGTGTTATTTTGAAAGTCTGTCAGTTGCATTAGTTTCCTAAGTGTTATTAGAGATGTTAACCGACTCCAAGCTCGGAGGTGTCATCTTCGTACAATATTTCCATTTAAAATATTCGTATTATAAATAAAATTATAATAAAAATTAAACATTTTTCGAATCTTTTCTTTCATGATGAATGATCATTAATAACTAATGAATACAGGATACTTTTACATTTAAGACTTCGAATCAATTACTCTCACATCAGTATAAAAATTTAGTTGTTCAGAGTTGCTAGCAAATGTCATTCAATTCGTAGATTAATTGATAAAAAATTGAAAAAGATTGCATTTTCATTGGTTTTACTTTATTTCAAAGAAAAAGAGAAGGACGAAACAAACACGGAGCGGAACGTTATACATGCGGAAAATATTTAATATAACATTTTTTTGTTTAAATTAAAAATTATTTTACACGAATGAAAAATTACATAAACAACAACACGACCCAACGAACGAAAACAACGTAGAAATGATTATAGTTTGACATCTATACACTGTTCAAAAGAAGAAAATATCATTCGCACACAAACATCACATTTCACCTAACAACAATAGAGAAGAAAAAAAAAAAAAGAAGAATACATAGATGAATATAAATGACAATGATGTGCATAACTAAATGACGGCGTTCAAATATTAAATAAAAAAAAAACAGATGAAAATTGACTTTACATGCGTATATACTAACACAGGTTGAATCGTAAGGTGTATAAAATGGACAATAAAATGAACAACAACAACAAAAAATTTTGTAATTTAGTTTAATTTTAAAGCATAAATATTTTGCATAGACACAATGATTTATTAAATACACACTCCGAATATATAAAACAAGGAATCGTTAAGAAGCAAACACTTTCCTTAAATACGTGTACTTCTAAGTAGTTTTGATACTAAATGAGTACACTAAAATTATTCTCAGTTTAACAGTTGGAAATATAGCGAGTACTCCACTTATTTAATTTTTAAATCGATGGAATGGACTGCGTACAACTTGCAAAAGAAAAAAAATATGATAGCAACGGTAACTAGGAGATAAAAAGATTGGCAAGCAAAAAAAATAAAAAAAAAAATGTAATAAATAGAAGGAGAATAGACGAATAAGAATAGATAAATAAATACATCTATCGATATAAGAGATGTGATCTACATAAAGACTTCGATAAAGACGCATTTTGAAGAGATGTTTGAGAATTCGGGGAAAAAGTTAACTTTTGACTGGTAATTAAAAACAATCTAAAGGAAAAATTGTCAATAAATCATATAACCGGAAAGTGGGGATCAAAATTCCTGATCGACTAGTTTAAAATTGCTTTTGAACATACAAAAATGGTGTCAATATGCTAAAATTTTCAGTAATTTATGTCAGTTGAAAGCTGCCAAAAACTTTAGTTTATCCTCACAAATGCATATGAATATTGCGAGAAGGTGAAAAGAAAAAACTGTTACAGTAACATCAATGTAGGAGTTAGGCTAAACACTAACACATCTTTTTGACCATAACTATAACGAAACAAGAAGAACAGCTTGTTCTCTAGTTATGATTTTTATTTACACATAAATAGGAAAAAAAATTATTAAGGATGAAAAGAACAACATCGAAAAAAGTTGAAGTTATATTTGCATTTTATTTTTAAAAAAAAAGAAAAGAGAATGCGTTATTTCTCTCTCTCTCTCTCTTCTAATTTCTTTGAGGAACTGGTGGTCGTTCAAATGGACGAGGTGGTAGCGATGGAGTAGGTCGTCTGAAAAGAAAGTAAAACAAATTTATATTACAATTAGACTCTAGTTTTAATTGAAATCTATTCACGAATATAATTATTGATATGCTAATCACTTTGGTGCAATTGCAAAGCTACTTAAAAGTGCAGGTGTGAAAATTTCATCGAACTTTTATGCGAGAGAAGACAAGCAAAAGAAAGAGATAAGTTTAAGTCTTCAAAACAAAATTAAAATACCCATGCCTTTCCAGAATAAGAGAACCTTTTATGGAACTCCTCCGAATTGTTTCCAAAGAAAGGACTGTAAATTATATACTCAGAACCCTAGCGTTTTTGCTGTTTACCCCCTCCTCCCTGTGGTTATGATCTTAATTAAATAAATAATGACAGTGGTTATGATCATAAGTTTGCCTAGTGGAGCCCGATAAAAAGCTAAAATCAATAGCAGCTACTAGATATGCCATTTGTAATTGTAAGTATATATTTAATTAAAATGAGCACAAAAATAGCTTTTAGTAGCTACTGTTGCTCGTAGCTTTTTACTAAAATTATTGCCCGTACGAAAACAAAACAGTGGAGCTCAGTTGTAATCGTAGAGCCTCTCTACAGACGAACTGACGTTTATTTCAATAATCGCGGTCCGTATAAAAAGCCGTCAGTTGTCGGTTAATCGTTTTCTTTTACCGAAGTTCATTCACCCTTTTTTAATTACTAATTACACAAACGAATTCAAGAATTAACAGTCGGAAGGAGTTTCATATTTTAGTTCGAAAAGGGCCTTCTCTGACAAGATTTTTAGTAGAAATAAAATCGTCAAGCTTTGAATACTACTATAATTAGTTACAGTTGTACAACTAATAGAGGCGAACATGTACGTATACGACAACAGTAGTACAAAAAGCACTTTTAATTCTCTATTTTGTCCATTGAACATTTAGATCCTTCACACTTACATTGGCGACAATGGTGGGGGAAGTCCACCAGGTTGAGGACTCGCTCTGCCTTGTGCATTTAATACTGGTCTAAAAACATTGATGAGAAGAGATAAATTAATTTGAATAAAAATTCTCAACTAATATTATCGTTAATGTGTTGCTTCTTTTATACAGCACAAATTTATAATGTATGCTTAAAAATTCATTTAGATCAACATTCAACATAGTTTCTCATGCAAGTTGACACGACAATCTTTTAATCAAACAATTCTTAGAAAACAAAAAATCAAATTAAAATGTCAAATTATTGCATGCAAATTTCTAAGTGCAAAATAAACGAATAGAAGATGGATTATTGAAAGGAAAGCAGCAAAAGTTGTTAAGAATTTTTTTATATAATTAATTGTTGTTAGCGTTAGTAATTCTATGGAAAAAAAATGGACGTGCTCAGCAGCAAAATGCAGAAACTTACGATGGTAAAGACGGTGCATAAGCACCATTCGAAGTAGGAAGGGGTGCAGTAGTAGTAGTAGTAGTATTAACAAAAGGATCGAGTCCAAAAAAATTGTTTGGTTGTGCACGCCTGTAAAACAAATTGAAATTTATACAAACTACGTATTTGTATATCGGATAAAATATCTTTAAAATAAAAATAGTCCAGCTATTTACTTACCATAATGTTGCTAGTTTTCTGATAAAGAAGTAAAGCGTATAGGAAAGAAAACAGCTAAAGTGCATTCAAAGCACAATTGAAGATCATAGATTACAGTTTGTAAGTCAAAGCAAAGTAAATGTTTTGAAAGTATGTCTTGTAGAGCAAATGCTTCTTTTACTTTTATATCCTCTTTTCACTATTTCGCCAACGATAGTTAATAATATTCAATAGAAGAATGTAAAAGAGTTAAAAAGACAAAAAATTACATGCATTATGCGAGAAAAATCTTCAACACAGATCGTATTTATCCTTCTTACTTCGATGCTATTTCATGCTCAGAATAAACTTCAATCATATTTAAAAATGGTTATTTTTTCAGCGGAAAATACGAATAATTGATGTTATATGGTGTATCATCCGAAGTTATTCAATAGATAAGCACAAAGTTTAACAATCGGCTTATATGTGAGTGTTTAAGTCATTATTGATAAGCCTAAAAACACTCACGATGCTTGTTGTGATAATTTATTATTTAATTCTGTGAAAAAAGTTCTAGCACTCCTGCAGACAAAAAAGAATGACAATGTCCTCATAAGTTGTTTTTTACTGAAGTTGAACGAAGAGACGAATGAGAATAGAAGAATATTGAACTTACTGTGGTAATAGAGGCGGCGGTAATACAGTATTTGAATTAGCTACGGGGGTTGGACGTAACGGTGGTGGTGGGGGTTCTCGAGCAGTCATTGGATTTATTGGATTAGGTGGTGCTTGTGTTTTTCGTTGAGGATTTGGACTTGGTGGTCGATTACTAGAAAATATAGAAAAAGAAAAAATTCGTTTAGTAATTAATTGAGCAAAATATATAAAAAAACATACGGATAAGATGGTTGTTGCAAGTTGTTCGGTGTATGATTGGGATAACCACCAGAATTATTTTGCATTGGCGCTGCCGCCGGTTTTGATTCATAAAATTTTTGATCATATAATTGGGCATCTGGTAGTGCAATTGTTCTTGTACTTATATCGCCAATAATGTCTAATGCCTACAATAAAACACATTAAATTGTGTCTACTTTTTTTTTACAGTAAGAGATTTACTTGTTTGATTGCATCATAATGTTTTAATTTTTCTTCTCGTTTCATTGATTCATCAGCAGACTCTTCCATAAGAATACCCTAGAGAACAAAGATCATGTGTAACAAGTATTTATTGAATAATATTATTAAATTTACTTGATCTTGATTAGCACTATAAAGTTGTGACAATAAATCGATTGACACAAACTCTTTCAACTAGGTAAAAACAATAGTAATCCAAAATATGGCGAATAATGAGGAGTGAATGGATAATATTGAAACTTTTCCATCATTGTATCCTGATAATGTGAATATTTCACAATAGTACAATATTGACCAGATAAAACTATTTATTCAAAAAGTTCAATATTGTCTTGTTGACTCTACTTTAATCGTATGAGTCAAACAAGTTATTCTGAAGTATAATAACTTTGTTCGTTAATCAGTTGTTCGAAGGAAGACTAGACGCAGATTGAAATTTTTTGTGTCAAATATCAATCAAAAAATATATCTTAGAAAGCTGCTAAGTGCATAGAAAGACTTGGGAGGTTATGCACGAAATATTAAAGAAAATGTCTTCAGTTATGCGATGAGACTTTTTTCTTTGGAATATGTTTGAAACTAATAAATAAGATGTACATGACTATTTCTAAGAAAAAAAGTTTGAAGCTAGATGGAAACATTTGTCTAGTCTCAATAGTATTTTTTCTTAAGTTTCATCATTTTTATTCAAGTACTTCACTTGGTTAGTAAAAGGTATTGAGTCTAATGTCTCTGGACTGGATTGAATTCAAAATTTTATACGGATTTCTGACTAGACATGAATTGAATGTAAAAATTGTTTGATTGTGAAATGTTTACATTATAACGACATAATGACACACGAGTTTCAATGAAATTATTCGAGTACGTATTAAATACGTAAAAATTCACTAGTTACTTACATTGTTTACAATCAAATGCATGATCATTTTTGGTATAATATCTCGTGTTGATTTTGTAACTATTTGCATATAGGATACAACAAGATTATTAATTGTTTCTACTTGTCGTTCAAGTTGAGGATCCACTGTACCAATATCAGCTGTCTAAATACAAATAATCAAGTTTTCTTATGGTTCTCATCTTTTATTCATAGATATTTCTGTTCAATACCATTGTATCTTCTGGATGTGTTTCTCTCTCAGGATAAACACCAGTACGAAGAAACGATGCTTTCCAACTATCAACTTCATCTTGTGTTTCACATGATAATTCAAGCATTTTATGTTCTTTGTATACATTTCGACTAAATATAAAAGGAAATAGTTCGTAATTGTAATAAAACAAAAACAAAAATCGTGATTACAATAGGGTCAAAGATGATATAATATATCTGATAATTATATTATTATAACCGTGAAAAACTAGTAGGTCAAATTCTTTTCGTTGTTCTCTATTTATATTCTACGTATCAGACATTTATCGATTATTTTTTTGTTTATGACATGAGATAAAATAGTATATTTTTATGCTTTTTCTATTATATTGTTGTTCTATACAAATTAAAAGTAATAAAGATAGTCAAAACTTATGCTGAAAACTAAATGATTAATGCATTCATTCATTCTATTTTTGTTCCTATCATATGGAATACAACTACGTTCAATACAATGTATTGATGATCTGGTATATAACACAACCACAACTATCCATACAAAATTGACATATGTCCTAGCAAGTAAGTTCAATACAAGCCATTTTTGTATTACATTCAGATATATTCAATACGTTCGTTTTTACTTGAAATTTTTGACAATAAAAAAGTAGTTTACTTCAATTGTTTTTACTTCGAAAATTCATTTCAAAAAAATTATAATTCATTTCTCTCTTCCTTAGCTCGAACTCCAACATGTGCAATTTATATTCCATCAGAATGTAGTGACATTATCTATTGTTATCATCGTTTTACATGTATATGTTCAATAAAATGTACAAATTTAAATCATCCACAATTGTGGCCAAATGTTCTCGAATTAAATTTGGTCAATATTCATATTAATTTATTAGATGATTATGTTTTATATAATTTAACTGTTGTACAAACATTAAATTTCAAACAATCATATATAGAAGTAATTAATAGTAAAACATTTTTATATATGCCATTTTTAAAACAATTATCATTTGAAAAATCGTATATATGTGTATTACAAGATGGTGCTTTCTATAATAAATATTTAGAACGTTTAGATTTAATTCAAACAAAAATAAATTATATTGCTGATGAATTTTTATTTTTTTCCTCATCATTAAATCTTTATGATACATCATTGACAACTTTGACAATAATCAATACAAATTTAACAAAATTACCATCAGATATTAAATATTTAAAAAATTTAATTAAATTAACCTTAATTAATAATTGGTTAACATATATTGATGAAAATATAATTAAACAATTAAAAAATTTAAAATATTTATATATTGATGAAAGTTTGTTAAAATGTCAATGTGATTTACAATGGTTAAAAGATTTACAAACAAACAAATCGATAAAAATAATTAATGATCCAATTTGTTTGTATAATGATCAAACATTTAAATTACATGAAAGTCTATTGTGTACAAATTGTTGTTTAAATAAAAATGATTGCCTTCGAGGAGAATATTGTGTTGAGAGAAATAATAATTGTTTATGTATCTCAAAACCAAGTAAGAAAATATTTTTAAATCATCATACATATTCATAATTTGTCTTGATTTGTTGAATAGATTATGAATATATCTTTTATGATGATTATTATGATCGTCCAGTTTGTAGAAATAGAACATTTACTGAAATTTATATGTATCCAAAACCAAAACCAAAATTAAAAGGTATTCTATATAATAATCCAAAACGACAAGATTTATTTCAACGACTCGATGATCCATTTTCAAATATTACAATTAATTGTAAGTAGTATAACAAAATAAATTGATATATTTGATATTTTTAAATAAAATATTTTTAGCTAAACTTTATTCATCTTTTTCCAATACATCGTGTGCATTATTTAATACATATTCTATGAATAATTATAAATACAAAATAGCATGTCCATACTCGTTGGTACATCTAATAGGCACAAAATATTGTACATGGTTTGATAATGAAACATGTAATAAAGCACCAACATCTAGTAAGTTATTTTATGAAATAATAGGCGACTTACAACAAGGAACATGTAGCTCAACTATCAAGAGATGTAAGAGAAAACATTTTGGTCGTTTTTGTCAGTTTGGTGTACTGCATCGAATGGCAGCGTCTGTTTGACTTTTTGAAAAAAAAATCGAAAAAAACTTTCGACTTTTTTTGTTTCAAAAAGTCAAATAGACACTGCCATTCGATGCAGCTCACGAAACTGACAAAAACTATCAGAAAATTTTCTCTTACGTCTTCTGGTGGCTGAGCAGTAAAGTGTTACAAGTTGCCTATTAATCTCACAAGGAATGTTTTGAATGTTAATCACTTAATTAAAAATAACATGAAAATAAATTTTGTTTTGTTTAAAATATTTTAGTGGCAGACATGAGTTTTAGTTGTCCAGTAGATCTTTATAGTTTAACAGATCAAGATATCAATATTGAATTTCAACGTCGATGGCGTGATGAATTTTATCTTCCTCTACCACTTTCATTTACATCTCTCTATTTTTATAACGCATTAGATTATTATAAAAATCAAATTAATCGTCATTATATATTTGACTTATTATCAGAAAATATTTTTCGTCACAATCGTTTTGATTGTTATACATATCATCGATGTGTCTATGATAAATACAATTATAAATTGGCATACAGTTATTTATTACGTTGTATAAAAAATAATGTATTCAATATTTATTATTCATCGTGCATTAATCAAACAATGTATTACTATTATCAAGTTGAATCAACACATCCAACATATCATATTAGAGAAAAATGTAATGAAAATTTACGTTATTCTTATAGTTAATAGTCATTTAAATAAAATTATGTTTTAAATCGAATAATTTATCAAATAATATCTTATTAGGAATAAATCTCATAGGATTATCTTTGTTTTCTATAATTAACTTACTTAGGCTCTGTACTAAATAATGCAAATTGTATACGTCTTGACATAATTCCACTGTCAACATCTTTTATTTTTAAATTATCTAACGGCATCATATATTTCTTATCTTTTTCCTAAAAGAAAAAATAAATAAATATGTACTGAATAATAGCATAATAAATAATAATTAGTTTTAAAGTTTAGTGTATGTAAAACATTTCATACTTCTTGATCGGTAAACCATGATAAACTTTCTGTTGTTAAAACGAAAAAAAAATCTTTTGCTTTCAAAAAACTTCCACCGGTTTGAATACGAAGCCATCCTTTTCGAATAACCTAAACAAAAATGTATACGTTATATTTCAAATATAAACATCATTTAAATAACAGAATATTATAAGAACAAATCTAATATTTAAATAATAATAATAATATAAAATTTCTAATAAAAGTCTATACAAACAATACAAAAAAAACAAGCATAACAAACACAAGTCATTCAAGAACAACAACAACAATGAGGACCATTTAGTTCAAATTAATTAAAAAAAGTTTCAATGAGATTATCTCCAGTTGATTCTTTTTAATTAAAAAATTTGGCTATGATCTCTCTCTCTCCCTCTGAATAATAAAACTGATTGTTCACAACACTTATAACTACTATAGCAATAACAAAAACAAAGCAGCAGATATTTATAAAATAAAAATAAGAGAATGATGCGTACTTGTCCCTAAAAGAATATAAACGAATAAATATATAAATAAAAGTTTAAATCCTTTTCTTTTGTAGTAAATGAAAAATGAAAAGTTTTCAAAAACAGAAATATAAAAACTTCTACTCTATCCAACTAACCTGATTTGCTAGACGACGTTTACTCTCGTTTGCACTACGTTGTTGTGCACTAAAGAAAAACAAGATGTTTATTTTATGCATAACATAATTTCATTTCTTTTCAACTTACTTTGCAAATCCAATAAAATCTTCATGATTGGTATTTATGTATGCTAGTTGAAATTGCACATATTCTAGACAAGCTGTTTTCGTTACTTGTTCACGTTCTCGTAAATATTGTGTTATCAGACGTTCACTTTCTTCTCTCAGATGTGGAAAACGAACCATCTGAATGAAACAGAAAGAGAAAAAAATAAATTAATTAACCTCCAGTCAAAAAAAAGATTTAAGTATAATTGAATCATTGACGTCAATTAGCAGAGAGACTCGCGTATTATACATCTACTTGTCTAATAAAGAAATAGTATAAGAAGATTTTTGCATCTATATTCACTACTTATCGCTATTATCATGATAAATAATCGAATCAACGTTAGTCTAGAGGAAAAGAAAAGATATTACAAAGAATTTTCATATTTAATATAAAAATTTCAAAAATAGAATTTGTGTCATTGAGCAAGGATCTAGGAAGGAAGTAAACCATAATATTTCTCTTCTCATGATTCCAAAACATCATGTTAATAGTAAAAAGAGCCGAAAATCCCACAAAAAGATATTTCTGTAAGCAAACAAAAAGACAGCATCCGCTAACTAATCTGCCATACTTTTACCCGTATATACATGTGGTTAAGATACGGAAGATTTTGGGTATTTATAGCAGCAGTGCAAGTATTTATAATGTCAACGATGAACAAAACAGCAACATCGTCGAAAAGCAATACTTGGGTAAATAGCGGATGATTAACCAAAGAAGGGGAAAAATACTTTTCTTTGGCTTGAAATATATGCAAAAAAATCTCTTTAGGACGGAAAAAACGTTATATGGTGTATAAAAAGTTAAAAAGACCAGTTTTTAAAATCCGTCTTTGTCTTTAAGAATGAATGGCCAACTACAGTGCACAATCTTAATGGAAACTAAATTATCCGATTTAATCGAGTTTAATAAAACTTGACAATATTTTTCATCTTATAATCTTAAATGAACTCTATTTGGGAAAGATCTGCGCTCACAGACAAACAATAGAATCGAAGATCAAATAAAAAATTAGCAAATTTCTTTAATTTGTTGCAGAAAACCATTGTCTACAAACCTGCTGCTAGGGCAGAATAGAAAACAAACATACAAGAACAGTTATTTTTACAAAAAAAACGCATCTACGAACCCGTTCTGTAACTTGATGTATGATACTCAATAATTCTGTAATAACCAGATCAACACATTTAATAACTGGTTCACGATATTTTGCTATTTGAATTTGTACAACATATTCAAAAGCTTCATCGGGCGTAAACAAACCAGCTCTATAAACAATAAGAACTTATATTGAGAAAAAATCAACAAAAAGTTACTACTAACGAACCTGATACCACGAATATTTTTTATTGCAATGACAATTTGTTTACGCATATCTTTATCTTCAATTTCGATCTAGGATAAATAATAGTGATTTATACTTTATTTAAGCTAAGATTATTTTAACAAACCTTGACTAGCTCAAATGGAAAACGTTCATGAAATATATTTGCAATTTTTGCACCACCGGTTAACACTTGTAAATTAACATCACTCAAATTTGAACCTAATAATGCTGATTGAAATTCTTTTCCAACTTCATGAACGAGACTAAAGGAAGCAGACATAAAATGATAAAAAGTACAAGATGCTAATGAAAAACTTACTTCATTAAAGCTTTTGTTTTCCGTTGGGGATCATCTGGACGGGCACTTTTATATTCTAAAACTTCTTTTTGCATTGCTAACATTTGTCCTTGTAGTTTATTTCGTAATTGTGGTAAACATTGTCTAATATGATTTGTCAATTGTAAATTAAGTGTTTTTTGTAAAAATGCTGTACCCATACGATCGGCAATATGTCTGGTGACAAAAAAAATAAACTATAAATTAGTTAAATCTATGAACACGATGCTTACTGATAAGCCGGATGTGTCATAAAAAACCGTCGTTCAGCAGCTAGCGCCGCTTTGATATCTTTTCGTCCATCAATATCTTTTTGACTGCGATTAACAACACCAATATAGCCTACATAACAAAAAAAAAGAAAGTAAACTAACATTTATTATTTTATCAATTCTATAGCACTGACCTCGTCGAAGAGGTAGCAATTTGTTTTCTAAAATATCACGAGCATCAGTACCATCGTCCATTAAATCTAATTTTGTAATAACACCAATTGTTCTTAAACCTAGAAGAAGAAGTAACCATAAAATCATACTTTTGTTTGATTTTACTCTGCTCTTAAACTCACCAGATGGATCAACTTCTTTGGCCAATTTTAATGCATCAGAATTAGCCAGATCACTGTTAGCCGGTGTAACAGCCAATACTAAACAATTATCTTTACTAATAAATTCAAGAATCATTCCACGAATTTGTGTTTCAATATCGGCTGGCTGATCACCTACGGGCACTTTTGTAATGCCTGGTAAATCGACTAACGTCAAATTTAATACTAAATAAACGGGAAATTATGTATAAATAAATAGTAAGACTTGTCGTACACATTTTACCCACCATGAGGCGAGAAAACAGTCAAATTAATTGGTACTCGTGATATACCCTTGTTTGTACCCGTCATTCGATCTGTTTCATCCTCAATTTCACTTCGTATTGCATTAAAATCAGTGAATTTCTTTCCCTTATTATGTAAAAATTCACCATATTCTAAAAACGAAAGGGTAAAACGAACCATATTTAATGCCAAGGATCATTAATCGTATCCATTACCTCCATGAGGAGAATGTATAAGCTGAAGAATAAGCGGTCGTCTTGTAACAATGCCAGAGCCACGTGGTAAAAAATCTCTAAATAGATTATTTATGATAAATACACGATCACGTATGGAATCCACTTTAATTTACCTTCCAACAAAATTTTCCAATACCGAACTTTTACCAGCCGATTGTGAACCTACAACAGCTATTTGAGGTAAATCCAAATCGAATCGAGCCCCCATAGTGGTAAACACATCTTGGAGCCGATTGACCATAGGAATTAATTGTTCCATGCCTGTTTTTTTGAAAGAAGAGAAAATACATCATCCTTGCTAGGACCGTGAATAAGTTAAGATTTTCAATGAATTCTCACCTGGATTGCCTGACATGATTATTTTTTAACATCTACTTCTAGAAAAAACTGAACAAAAAGAAATAGACAAAAATGTATTCAACCATCGTTTTATATGATCAATGGAACAAGTGAGACATTTAATGTTGAAAACCTAATCGCTAAATTTGAGATGAAAAAATTTTATTTAGTTCGTAAATCTTAACTTTATATATTTTCTCTTTTACTAAGTGACTAGGCTAAGCATTAACAATCAACATGCTCGAAACAATAACAATTTTTTTGCCTTATCTATCTTATTTGTCTATTGACTTGGCCACCATATGAAAAGTAATATTAATAAATGGTAAGTGTCAATAAAAACCAAAACTGTATACTTCGTTAATTTAAAAAACATGTAGAGTCTATTGAAATTGTTTGTCGCATTATTTATCTAAAATCTTATCTCTTATCATATATAAGGAATACGATGATTATTCCTTAAGACTACGTTAAGACTATCTCAGAAAATTTGTAGTATATCGAGTTTGAGATTCGTTATAATAGAAAAATTCCAGTGGATTGTAATTTTCATTAAAAATTATACATTCCGTATATCAAAGGATAAAGAAAGTGCAAGAAATCAGTAGTGGATATTTCTGTTTCAGTATTAATATTTTTGTTTGACTCTTCATTTCCAAAATTAATAGTTGATACTTCTAAATCTTTTAACAAGCTCTAACGAGTATATAAACTAACTGTAAAGAAAAACTCAAACGGAGACAAACAGGGTAATATAGTCGGGCTTTTTACCTTATTGTCTTTCTCTTTCCTTCCTTCTTCACTATTATTATTTTTCTTTTAATGTAATCTTTTATGCTCAACTGATTGATCAATCAAATACGTGACCAACAGCATTTCACCCATGAATCACCATCATCCGAACTTAAGTTTAAGCACGTTAAGAGCGGCATCTTTTGTTTATATATGATCGTTGCATTAAAATATGAAGTGTACATTTTCTCTACATGATTAGAAAAACTGTCTTTGACTTTTCTGTTCCAGTGTTTGTCGCCACTTTCTTGTCTTACGTAGATGCCTCTTTGCTCGTTGGCTACCATCAAAAAGTAGTTCATTATTTACAAAGGTCAAAATAATCTTTCAGCTATGTTTATAATGTAGTTTATCGAAAGATTCACTTTTAATAAAATACACGAGAAAGTTCTTTTTGCTTTCGTTTTTTCACGTTCTATTAGTCAAGAAATAAGAATTAGGCCTGACGAAAATCAAGAATGTGATTATTTTTTATAACAACGAGATTTGTGGTAGAGAGCAATCTATTAGTTCTATAATTAGTAACTTATGAGAAAGCTTCCATGTAAGGAGCCCCACTTCCACACATCTCTTAAAAACCCTATAAAAGCGAAAAATCTATATATACTTCCGACTCAATTACTCGTACCCACACTTCTCTATTACGACTTCTACGATTAGCATTGTGTTGTATTAATGGTACATGGTAAATAAAATTAGGATCCATCGCCTGAGGACCAAATGATTGATCACTTACCCTTTTGTCATTCTTAATTTCTGTGCTCGAATAGTGTTAGGGGCGGAAGATTTAATATATACGCTCTAGTAGTTTTATTTTACAGTTAATGATTATAACGTTTATTATCCCTTAGTTATGTTAGAAAACATATATAAAAAAAATGACATGCTGTTCTTTAGGCTTTCACTGCAATAGATATTTGTCACTTATAACGGTGATCATCCAAAATATCCCCCTTTGAATAATTATTACCGTCTTAAAGTGGCTTTTCACTCGATACCATTGCAGAAAAAAAGTATTGCTGTAAAACTTTCGCTTTCCCGCAAAAGTTTTTAGTTCAGTGTATTTCCTCTGAATGAATTTAGCTACAGTTTTTAGTACTGAAAAAGTTACTGATTTTTCATCAGTGTATCTCATATTTTCATGCATATTTTTATTTGATATATCAAAGTGATATCTTGGCGCACTGTCGTAACATTGATAACTTGCGATATAATTTATTTACCAAACAAACACATTTGACATATTCGTAACCAAAAACGCAAGAAAAAACAATAGAGGTAAAAGATTGGTATAAGATTAATGTTAAAGTTTATCTCCTAACGTATCATTACGATTGTACTTTTTCCATCGATATCATAATTCTTACCAATATAAGTTGATTATAATAGGCTTTGGGTGTTGGTGTGATATTGCTGGACGTAATGATCATTAAACCAGTCAGCGTAAAGTCTGAACTATCTAACTGGAGAATCTATATCATTTTTTTTTTGAAAGATTTCAAAGTGTTAGCTAGTATCTGAAACACAACATTTCCAAAATGAATGTTACTCTGAACAGACGATCTGTTCATTTTATTTGACACATCGAGATCACAAATCGTCACGAGCTGCGAAAACACATGCGGGCCCCTACTTGTGGTGTTACAAGAAATTAAAAATATCAAATAGCGACTCAGGGCTGGTAAAATCAGGGAAAACCCTCACGAAGGAGTTCAGACAGGACCGTCTGTTTTTGTTTGCGGAACGGGTCTGGAGCGATCTAAAAACTGGTGAGCGCACCGTTTTTGTGCTGAGGCGTGATCATTACTCAACGAAGATTTAATCTAAACCCACAAACAGTAAGCGACATTATCATCGCCCGTTCTGTATAAAAATAAGAGAGAGATAAAATATGAGATTTTCGATTTATTTTTGTGTGTGCTACTTCAACTGTTTTGAAGTAAAATATGACGTTTGGTGAGGAAAGTTTAAGAATATCGATATTGAAGAGAAAAAATACTGCTACACAAATTAATTTTGAAAAGCGATAAAGATCAGAGAAAAACAATTTGGTTGACGGAATGGAGATGTTTTCCACAGTGATGAAACGCCACGGAACGGCTTGACTTGTACTTTTAGCAGCTTGAGTATTCATCTTTTAATTTATGAAGAAATATTTATTTGAAAATTTGATTGTAGAGCTTTCGAATCAGTAACGATTTATCGTCAGTAGAGAAAATTTAAATTAACAACTTAATAAGAGAATTGTATAGAAACAAGTAGCAGTTAAAATTTACGACTGAAGATGCTACCAAGTACAAGACTTACTAAAAGTACAAGTCAGACGTTTATTGTGAAAGTCCTACCGTTAACGGAGAAATTCGGACGGAACGGGTTCTAAAAAATAGATTCCCCGTGCATCTCTGGTATCAAAGTTCTATGGTTAATTAATAGTATTTTTTTGAATGTATTATTGTTTTTTTACTTGTTATAACAAATCCATATCATAAATCCGCAACATACCACCCAATATACTGTGAGGTATACCGTCATTTAAGTCGAAATTACCGACCGATAACCTTCTGATATCTTCTCATTATGAACACGTAGAACACGAGTTCGAAACTAGTTTTCAACGTTCTTTTTTGTTATTATCAAGGGCTTAACCGCATGAAGGCTCCCAGTTGGGAGAAAATTCGAGAAAAAACTCGAGTCGAAGTGCAAACTTTGAAAAGCCTATAATCTAAAAGAAAGTTAATCTGAAAAAAATCAAGTTCTATGAAATTTTCTGTGTTTCTTTTATACCTTCACGGATGCAAAGCGAAAGGTGTATAGATAAGCACGGTTACTGCGCGGTGCTTTGTTAGACCGCGTTAGTTCCGAATACCGCACGGTAGTCGCAGTTACCGAAGATATTTTAAAAAAAAGCTCTACATGGAAGGGAATACTTATTGTACATCACTCTGATATTAAATGAATTCTAATTCACAAGCATATTCCACTATATATTGATCACTAGTTAATGGTCACGTCAGGCTCTAAAATATGATGAATAAGTCTTATGTTAATAAGGAAAGCAGTATATATATATATACAATGTGAAGATCAAGTGATTGCGTATAGCCATCTGTTATTTCTTGCTACATGTACCACTACCAAGAGGAAAAAGTTTACAAAAAAAGCGATAAAATAAGAAAAACTAATGAATACGGCGGGAAACTGATTTTCAGACACAGAATTTTCATTTCGATATTCAGAGAAAGTAGCGCGATAAAACTAATATCTCAAGAAAGTGCGATCTTTTTCGCATTTTGATATATCGATGAGTCACCATTATTATGATGAACAGTTGCAGTGTTGCGATGAACAATGGTAAAATGTTATTGAACCATATCCCTAGACAAAATTCTATGCACTTCTTATCTGTTTCCTACTAGAATTCTAGTATGGTTAATTTAGGATCTTGATAAGTTCCTAACAGGATCTTAGATGTTCGGCTTCTACCATAGACCCGAAAAACGTGTATTCCGCCATCTTGAACTTCAAACTCTTGTAATTCAGTAACAACAGATTACTTAACCTTGGAGATTTTACCATAAATAGTAGATAGTGTGAACTACAAAATCACGCAGCCGCGAGCTCAAAACATGCTTTCGTTATTTTGTAATATATGGCGCACTAAGAGCCCAAATCCAGAAAACCTTGTAATTTCCTGTAGCACCCATTTGAAACAAGTCGACTGTGATACTTTCTTTTTCTATTTCCAAATAGATTATACGCCAAAGCATATCTGGTAAAAGTTTAACGGTCTTCGGTGCTTTCGTTTTCAATACAGATGAAAGTTGTAATTTTACCCAAAAATAGTTGGGTGATTTTGGGCCATTCTGAAGCCCCCTAGTATACTGCTAGAGTACATCAGGGGTACTATCATTGTCCATGCTGCGATTTGCGGGTTTCGCTAAAATGACTTCGGGGGCTCGGTCGGGGCATCGAGTTCTACAGGCTTGCTTCAATCAGTGTATTTCTGTTATAGTATATTAAAATTTCATAAAAACCAGTTTGATATGCAATTTTTCACAAGGAATTCAATGGTAATACAACAACAAGTTAATTCTACTATTTATGCGCTCCTATGTGCGACTTCCACCGAGGGTACCTCTAATAGGTTCCTTCTGATGGATTTTCATATGCCGGTCAATGGTTTTTTAATAACTCTTAATTCTTAAACTTATTCATCATATTTTAGAGCCTGACGTGACCATTAACTAGTGATCAATATATAGTGAAATATGCTTGTGAATTAGAATTCATTTAATATTAGATTAATGTACAATAAGTATTCCCTTCCATGTAGAGCTCACACAGCGTACGAGTACGCTTACCGGATAACTTCTGTTAGAAACACTGTTGCTATTTATTCCATTATGTAGTTTTCCAGAGCACTCTGAAAACCAGCCTGTCTACTAGCTTCTGCTTATCAATATCATCTTGGCAGACTAGACTCTTCGTGTTAATAAGAAGAAAAAGCTTAGAAACATTTAAGTATTTAGTTAAAGTGATAAAATTTGCATAAATTCTGCTTTTTTTTGAAAATTTCTACAAACTCTTTTCTTTATGCGCACGTTCTTAATGACCCAAATGTATGCGCATCTTGTCGTATGTCAGATAAAGAAGATACGCTATACTATAAGACTCTATTCTTTGACGTACTTCTTTAAACATGATCTCTTCGTTTTTGCCACATTACTATATATGACAGTCACTTTTTCTGTTTTTTGTTTTACTGATTAAATGGCTATAACATAGCGTTAATGCTCCTATTTCTATTTTGACAAAATTGTCATCGACATACCAACAAAGCATTTTTTATAGTCTTCAAAAAGAAGATGCACTCTTCGCTCTTTATCTTTTACAATTGTGAGCTATTTTGATGTCTTTCACATCATGATTTACAGTTTTACTCTCTTCGAATAAGTAATCCTCACCCTTTATGTCTTTTTCTGCTTTTATGGCAAAAAATTATTAGTTTTTAGCTAGAATTATTGGACAAATCAGACTATAAAATGTAATGATGACCTACTAAAATAATATAAAAGCAGTTGTGTAGAAAAACTAGATTGAAAAACGTAAAAAAGGATTTTGAATATTGAATTAAGAATGTCCCAAAACTTTATGAGGTGTATATAATTCTTCGAGTGCGTTAATTTCCTCAGCATTCAATGATATTTTTGTTGCTTCAACAGCTTCTTCGAGTTGATACATTTTCGAGGCGCCTATTATCGGTGCATTGACACCCTTTTTAGTTAAAATCCATGCTAATGCAGTTTGTATTGGTTTTACACCTTTTTTCTGGGCTATTTGTTTCAATCTTTCAACAATTTCAAAATCAGAATCTTGATAATACAGGTTATGAGCAAACTGATCACTTTGTGCTCGTATCGTTGCTGTTTCTGACTGTTCATTTTTCTTCTCTTGTTCTTGTTTTTGAATATCGGCTTTCGTACGATTTCCAGCTAAAAAGCCTCTAGCCAATGGAGACCATGGGATTAATCCGACACCTATTTAATACGGAGCAAATTTCGGTGGATAAAGAAACAAAGTTGCGAGTGTCAAGAGAACAATCTATACCTAAATCATTGCATAATGGATTCATTTCACGTTCTTCTTCACGGTAGACTAAATTGTAATGGTTTTGCCTAAAAGATGAAGCCCAAACTGAATGTATAGTTTCCCATGCGCTCATGCCCCTACTAGCGGACATGTATAAATTCTTGTCTCGTCATGTAAATTTACACTCTAAGTAACCGTACTAGTCACTGAGTATTCGTGTGTATCGAAGATATCTTTGTCTTACATCGTAATGAACTTGGTCCATCCGTGTTTTTCAGCCACATGTTGAGCTTTTGCAAATTGCCAGGCGTACATACTTGACGCTCCAATATACCGTACCTTAATGAAAGTAGCAAAATTATTTTAAAATATCTTTAAAGGTATGAAAAGTAATTAACTAACTTTGCCTGATTTAACTAAATCATGAAGAGCTTCCATTGTTTCTTCAATTGGTGTTTCTTTATCCCAACGATGAATTTGATATAAATCAATGTAATCCATATTCAAACGTTTTAAACTCGCGTCACAAGCATCGAATATATGTTTTCGACTTAAACCTTTTTGATTCGGCCCATCGGACACGGCATGAAATACTTTTGTTGCCAAAACAATTTCTTCACGAATAGCAAAATCATTCAATGCACGTCCAGTTATCTCTTCACTTACACCGAGTGAATACTGTAGGAGAAAAACAAAACATTTTATACAATAGTAATTCTCATTCATCCGAATGTCGCACAATTTACCTACCATATCAGCTGTATCAAAAAAATTAATTCCCAATTCAAGTGCTCGTTTTATAATTGGTCTCGCTTGTTCTTCGTTCAAAACCCACTCTCGCCATTTTGTATCACCGTACGTCATCATACCTAAGCAAATACGGCTTACTTTTAATCCACTATTACCCAAACGAACGTAAGGTATATTCGTTTTCTTGATGCCATCCACAACAGAAATTTTCTCATTTGCCATGATCAATTAAAAACAGAAAATACAATAATCTATAATAAAAAATATTATTCTTCTGGAAACTTGAGAAGTCTTTTGAGCATAGAACGTTTTCTAGACCAGTGCAGTGGTGTCAAGAGGCAACAACACTTCGGAAATGGTGTAGCTACAGACTATAGTGACTCATTGAATCCTTTGCAAATTTCGAGATGTTTTTCAGTTTTTTCAACTAGATAAAGTCATTGTGATTGTCGATTTAAACCAGGACCAAAGCGTACCCTCAGATCAATTATCACAGATAATTTCTAACATATTCACGCACAATTGACAGAACATGTTCATGATTTAATTGTGCATTCGCGCTGAGATAGCTGATAAATCATATCTAAAAAAATATTACTTTACGCAATTACGGATGGGATCTGAAGTCTCTACAAGAGTCACAAGTATTACTTTTTACTGTCTCGTCCGAATAAGAAGAATTGTTTAAAGGTTCTAGAGCCATGACATAATCGTACTCAACTCTTACGCTTACGTAATGAATCTTAAATAAGAATTGTAAGGCCCCTTTATGGTTTTTTATCGAATAATTTACTATTTTGTAACGCGTTTCATCAACAATTTAAACAAATTAAAACAAATATTTCATCTGGTCCATCGAGACAAAGGACCAGCGCACATAAGGCTTGCCCACCAACTTTTATTGCTTGAGTGTGTTCAAAATTCATAAAAATATATAAAAAATATTCGATGATTTTGGCCCTGCTGAGCACTTTCGATCGAATATATCCGACAAAATCTACACTCTTAAAAGAAATGTATATTACAAAACCAAAATAGGATATTTGCATTTGCGACCATACGAAACGTATTTTCATTTTGCATTTAGAGTAAAAGAAATCTTCAATTTTTTTAGTGTTTTCCATTTTTAAAGCGCTGCTTCAATGGTAAATGGAAATATGGATAAGGGTTTATGCAAATACCGTCCTATTTGATGCAGATACCGTCCGAAATACTGTTTTCTGGTATTTTGAACTAGGCTTCAAAGTTTTGTGTAATTCATAAAATCGATTTCGTTTTCATGTTTTAATTTGAAAATCTATCTAAAAAATCAAATCTAATTTGTTTAAACAGACCCAAAAATCATCAGTACAGAGAGAGAGAGAGACAGAAGTAGTTATTGTGAATGACTTGTATTTTGTGTTATTAATCCTCCTTCCTGTAGAAACAAACGAGGGAAAAAGCGAACGGCTGGCTAGGCTCATCGAACTTTTCGCCGCCATCGGCGGCAGCGCCTCAAAATTTCACATTCGAAGCACCTCAGCCGATCGGTTTATATCTCTACACATGGCCAATAACCTAACTACTGAAGGAAAAAAACAGAAGCTTCTTCTATCTAAATCGAACAGCACCTCTCAGAGTCTAAAATAAGTAAATGAAAAATGAGGACAATCGGCATTAGTAAGGAAGAAAGAAGACGGTCTGCCACTCTTGTGTTCTCCCTTATTTTTATTCCACTTGAGTGTAAAGGGAAGGGACAAATGCACCGAGCGGCAATCGCTGTGACATACTTCTCAGACCAGTACTCAGTGTTGTACTATATTTACTGTTGAGTTAAAAACTTAAAGATATGGTTAGTTATATCAGCTAAAGATGATCATACTGTTGGAAAATTGCAAACCCAGGGCGAAGAATCTTGAAATATGATCTTGTACGTTCATACAAGATCTTGTAAGATCATATTATAAGATACCACAAGATCTTACAAGATCATATGAAAATCTTACAAGATCTTACAAGATTCCACAAGAATCTTGGTTCAAGAATCTTATAAGATTTCACAAGATTTTTCTTACAGCAAGATCTTGTGATAAGATCTTGTATGACCTTACAAGATCTGGCGATAAAATCGTGCAAGAAGTGACAAGATCTTGAAAGATTTCATAAGATCATATAAGATTATGTCTCTGATTCTGTACTATAGCTCTCCTACAGACCCTCTTTAAAAAACAGCTTTTTTCTTTTCATAATATTTTCGAGCATAGGAAGGACCCGGACGTCCTTTGTAACGTGTCTAACCACGTTTCTTATAGCCATGCACTTTATTTGTGCTCAGCTGATGTGTGCAGTTGGAGAAAGAAAAAATTCTAAGTTTCATCATAAGAACTATATTTTACCCAGGTCCAAGGATTAGATAACAAGATCTTGGAAGATCCGTCGACGGTCTCATAACCAGATCTTGGGGGATCTTATAACAAGAAGTTACAAGATTCCATAAGACCTTATATTATCTTATAATAAGATCTTGTATGATCATATCGTAAGACCTTATTACAAGATTTCACAAGAAAGCATCAAATCTTGCAAGGTCTTACAAGACGTGTTTCATTTGGGTATATATACTATATATCGTTGCAAAATGTATGTGGTAAGAATGAGTCATCGCTTCTTGTAAGATCTTGTAACAAGAAATCGTATGATCTTGTGATAAGAACTGACAAGATCTTGCAAGATCATATACCTTCTTGTTACAAGATCTTATAAGATCTTAAGATTTCTTATAACCTGATCTTGTAAGATCTTACAACAAGAAGTTACAAGATTCCGCAAGATCATACATGATCTTGGGATAAGATCGTACAAGTTCTTGCCAAAAGATCTTGCAGCAAGATTGCATAAGAAATCGTCAGATCTTATAAGATCTTGTAAGACGTCTTTCCCCTGGGAAAGCACGATGTTCATAGGCTTTCTTGAAATTCGTTTTAAAAATAATAGCGTTGTGTAATTTTTTTCTATAGTTTTCTTATAAATATCATATATAAATACCCTATAAACACTGTACACCCTCAAATTTTTAACTTTTTAGCAAGAGACATGAATCTTGCAAGAACATTGAGAAGAAAGCGGATCAGTGTTGTTTTAAATGAAAATAATGTGCACTGCATACAATACGTCAAATAGTGGAAAGAAAAACAGATGGTTTATTTGACATCTATGCCTTATTTTTTTTTGTTCTTACCTGGCGTTTGTTTGCTTCATTCTGTTCGAACGATGTGTATATATACTACTATTATAAACTGTCTTAACTCATATCAACCAATTATATTTTACTTGGCTTCCTTTACATAAACCTCTTAAGAGTAAAATTTAAGTTCAAACGCTTTTGCTGGTGACATATGAGCTATTTGCAATCGCATTATACCGTTAGGGCGAAAAAGCCTTAAATGCACATGAGCTTTTTTAACATCGATCGTCTTTCTACATGCTTCATATGATGGTGTGAAACACGTGCGAGCAGATCGACCTACCAGCGATGTATGATAAGACCATCTGACATTTGAGCATTCGATACGCAGATTTACATTTCCCGACGTTTTTTGCCGTAAATTCGAATTATCTTCAGAACTACAAAAGATTTCGAGTGAATCGATTTCTCCAAATAATTGTCATATCGAGTGCATAAATGGTAGAGCATTTGGATTCAAACTTTACACTACATTTAGAGCTAAAAGCACAGTTTTGACTTTGTCGTTAGATTTTAGTCCGGATACAAAAATTTTAAAATTTTTTTCTTTTTTTAAGAAAAAATCCCCCCCATCATCTGCCTCGCATCTCCGTGTAAGTAATATTGTTTTGATGACATTCCATGGACAAAAGTATTTTTATTCATAGAATTCTCGCTGCGATAGAACATGAAGTATTTATTTTCTCTGACGATGACGAACCCTCTCTGTATTTGTTTTCGTGTTTACATTCGTGATTAGGTAACAGGTATGAGTAGAAGAAGAAAAGAAAATTATTAAGTTGAACGGGATATCCTCTTTCTCTCTGGTCGGATACAATATTCTCATATGAGTTTTTTCTGGTGCATTAAAGAAGAAAATTTGAAATGTGAGCTGAGAAAATAGCTGGAAATGTTTCTTTCACTGTCAGTATCGATGAACTAATGACCAAAACAAAGAGTTGTTCATGGACATATCCCTTAAATGCTGATCTCTAAAAGTGGTTTATTTGTCCAAATTTAGTAAAAATCCTTCTTTAAATGGATATGTCGAGAGAATAGAATATATATCTACAGTTTGAGAATAGAAAGAAAACAGGCACACACACCGTTTAGTTATGTAATAACTTGTCACAATGACAGCAACAACAGACAAAAATATATGTTAACCAAACAAAAATTTTTATAATAGAGAAAAATGATTGATATTTCATATCCTATTATAACATTTATTGTAGTTAAATGTTAGCTATACTATAATCTCAATTGACACTGGTATCATATCTTTATCATATCCTTTTCTATTACACTAACTGCATTATCGATCGCATAATGGGAACTATGTCATATGGATTTACATTTTCTGATATATCTGACCGAGTGTCTCTCGATAATATTTGTATAGTTAAACATTGCATAAATAATTTAGCAACCATTTTTGTTGCTGTTGCGTTCCCGAAACGATTTTCTAAAAATCTCCATAATCGTTCGATGTATAAATTTTGAATTCTAAATACTTTTAATGGATCTATTAAAATTGGTTCAACAGAGTCACTTGCTGAAAAACCTTTAGAAAACAACATAATAACTAATGCTAATTGAATAATAATTCGATCTAATTCAACAAATGACCTTAATGTCGTCATTAACGTTGTTATTTTTGAATATACTTCAAGACCATATGATAACAAAATATCTCTGCCATCAATATGATGTTTATCATCTTGATAATATCTATCCATTAGTGGATCATAGCTTAACACGGCATGTAGAAAAAATATGCACGGTAAATTATGTTTAATTAATGTTACTTTGTCTTCTTCAGTGCACAATTGAAATTCATGCATTTTCTTATAAAAATTAATTAATCTTAATGCTGTAATATTTTTAACATTAATTATCGGACAAATAGCGGTAAGCTTTTTTGTTAATGGATATAATGGTAAATCACTATCGGTCGTATTCAAATTGAAAGATTGAGAGTAGGCGTTTTGAATATTTTGTAAAAGATCAAAATCAGTCAGTCCCAATTGATCTGTTTTTTCTTCATCTGACTCGAAATGAGGACTAGACATCTAAAATGAAAACAAAATATTAAAAAAATACATTTTGTCTGACTGCCTTATTGTCCATTGAACTCTATTAGCAGCTGTGCTCGTTCTGTACTCAGAAGTAGATCGATAGATTGCCATTTTTATTATTTTTGAAATCAGGTACAAAACTTGGACACCGAGAAATGTAAGTCAGCTCACGATCTACAGACAGTTTATATCCGCACTAAATCTATGAGGAATGTTAACTTTTGACAAATATTGATGAAAGCTTTTAGATGATTTTGGTTGGTATATTCGCGATTCGTCGATACATTAATTTTTTTCCTGACTGGTCGACAACATTTTGGGCGGGGAGATGAAAGATATCTGTGAGCCGTCGACACTTTATAGTGTCGACGAATCCGGATTGAATTATTGTTTGATTATTACCGCTGCATGATCAAGTACACACTCTTGATCATGTACACTCTCTTGTTGTCGGACTGGCTCTCCAACGAGGAAATCGTTTTCATAATATTATCCTTAAAGGATGCTATCATCCATTGTGCAACTTATTTTGCTTCAACTACATGGCAAAAAAAAAGCGGTCACTTTTTGTGGACGAATTTATTCTGATGGTTTTTTTAGTCACATGAAAAAACAAAATTTGAAGAGATTTCCAAATAATATTTGACTCAGTTTAGTCTGCACTATACTTCGGAAGTACACGTGACCTGCTGGGCCGATACACTATCGCAAGAAATCAGTCGTTTCTGAAAACTTAAACAGCACTTAAATACTATGCTTATCACTTAATGCTTCGATTTAGATGAATTTTTGTGGACCTATTGTTGTTGACACTTTTTTTACTATGCTTTTCCGTGGACGTTTTCTAGTAGCAGCTTTTTTTAGATGCTTTTATTCTTGTTATGTAGAAAATGTCCAGATACTTGCTCTTTTACTTTATTTCAGATGCGTGTCAAAGGGTGGAGAATATATTCAATATTTGCGCTTCAGGATTTAATGTTTCAATTATTAAAGAATTGTTTGTTCTTCGTATTTAATTTAATTTTCTGACTATGAGACTCTTCATCTTACTCATTCCTGCATCATCTGATTATTTGATTCCATAACATTTTGCTTATTCAAAGTGAAACTGTGCTCGTAGTCTCGGATGGAATCATAATTAAATTTCAACGCTATAAACTAACTATAATAACTGGTTATGAATATCCTGTGAATGAATGAAGGCCATAACCTAGTTCTAAAATGTACTTTCAAAACTAATCGTTTATTATATATAGTTTGTGTAAAACGCGATAAAACCTAATTATAGCTCTCTCTGGAACTGGAGACAGTTGCACACTAAATAGGCAAGATGCTACAAAATCAAATAAGGAATAATGGACATACACTTCACAATTATTCTACAGATCGCAGATGTCAATAGAAAATGTAATAATTAATTAGAATTAGTTTAAAACTTTGATCAAGAACTGTGCTGACAGAAAATGCGATAGATACTTATTGAGAACTTGGACTGCCATTTTTGTTTAAGATTTTGAAAGATCGCATAAAATCTGCACAAAATCATGATTGTTCTGGACAGAAATATGAGAAATCTTTAATAATGTTCTACGGTCTTCATTTAAGATTTTTATCTTGAGATAAATACTTCAACAAATTTGAAAAATTTTGAACAAAAATTAACTCACTATTGTTTCTTGACTTGGTGTATTAGACAATCGTTCATCATCCAAATGGCTTTGAGTAAGACCGGTGATACTTCGTAATCGGCGGTTCTCTTCAATTCGTCGTTTTTTGTTCTGTTTTTCTTCTTCAGTTAAGATCCATTCTTTTCGCATTCCTAAAAAGAAATACTTTTTTTATTGAAAAACTACTTTAGCATTGGTTCCTCTGAACAAAAAAATCGACTTTTGACTGGAAAAGCAGACTATAAATTCAAGTATGTATTAAGTAAGTATGAGAGAATTTTTCAAAAGAAAAATGTTTTCTTGTAGGTCTGGAAGCGTTTATCCTAATATCTCTCTAGGTGGATATACTTTGTCTACATTTGAAGCACACCGAAAAAAAAGTGCGTTCTCTGGTTTGTGGAGAATGTGTAGAACAACAAGTTTTTTCACTGAAGATAAATCTATCGATTCGAAAGCTCTGATTTTAATAAATTTCAGTATCCAAACAAATTAGCTGCAAAAAATGAATACGAAACATAAATTATCAACCACGATAAGTTTCATGATAATGCTACTTTTTATCCAACATTTAAAAATCTAGTGGAAATCTACTTTATATAAAACGTTTTACTTTGGGTTACACAAAATCAGAAAACTCTTAACTCACTTAAAATCGGCTTAAAACATTTTAAAACTTCAAAGTATATATTATTATAGCCACGTTACATAATTATGTAGTTGCAAAAGTGTGCGAAAAAATGTAAAGATACTTTCGAAGTATTTCTAGAAAACTTTGTAAGAAGATCTGAGATATTCTTTTTTTTGGATTTAAATTAGAATAGTTTTTTTATAAAATAGTATTGTTATTTCGTATTTTAGAAGTTCATATCCGTTCTCCTATGACTCTCTCAAAACTCTACATTTGACAAAGATTTTTGAGCTTACATTTTTATGAAAAGAATGTTTTCAGTTTTTGGCTTATCGAACGGCAAATAATTCATGCCCCCCATCATCTATCTGTCGAAAGTTATTCGAAAACTGAGTGAATTTATTCTCCTTTAGAACGCACACTAAGTTAGGTGTGTTGAAATAATTTTATATTTCTGTACACTATTTGTCTGTCATTCAAACAATATTAAAGATAGAGTGGATATGTTATGTTAGTGCTAAAATGTATATGTTATCTAGATGCGTACATATAATTACATCAGATCTCATGAGAAAATAATTCTCGAAGAAAAATAGTAGACATATTTCCTTTTGCTTTTTTTTTCCATTTCCATACAAAATCCATAAAATAATTCTCATTTTTTTTGTTTTTTGAACGACACTCCATGATAAAACAATGAGTTTCTTTTTAAAGAATAAAGTAATCTAAACGGGTTAATAGAAAATAGATGGTTTTTCTTACGCTTTGCGTTTTTAAAAAAATCCAGAATCTTTATAAGCCGCTTGAAAAGTTTTTTAACAGAAAAAACAAAAAAAAAATATGTTCATTTTAGCTCAGATGAGTCTTTAATTAAAAACTATTCGTGTATTTTTAAATTTTTAAATTTAAAAAAAAATATTTTTTAGTAAATTCTCGGCAAATTCATTTTGTTCTCTAGATTTTGTTTAGAAGTTGGTAGACTTGATGGTGAAAACTCAAGGATCTTTTTAACGTATCATTTGATATAGATATAATTACTGAAAATTAGAAATATTGTCCACATCCTTAAAAAATTAATGTAAAAACTATATGTATATGTGTATACTAACCAACTGAGAAACATTTTTTAAGTCGACAAGATTTACAACGTCTTCTCGTCTCCAGTGTAATTTCACATGAAGCATCTCGTCGACATTTTAATCGTTCCTACAACATAGCTAGAATATATTGATGTTGAAAATATGATATAACAGATTTTAAATTAACAGATGAATGACTTTTTCAAATTTCAAAATAAAAAAAATATATTTAAAACTAAATAAAATATACCTGATTAACAAGAGCATTTCGTCTAAAGAAGGCTTTGCATGACTCGCAACTAATGGCATCAAAATTGTATCCATGAGCTTGACCACTGCATACCACACACGACAAGTCAGATTTTTTTCGATTATTTGTAATACTTTCTAGAGTTCTTGGCCTATTATTTAATGGATTAACTTGATCGATGTTCGAATTATCTAATATGCGTGTTCGTCGTTTTCGGTTACACGCTACTGTCTATGAAAAATAAAAAATAATAAAATTCATTGTTTTATACAAATTTTGAACATCTATAACTTAACTTTGAATACACGAAAGAAAACTTTCTTCTTTCTCTCGACATTCCTAAATCATTTTATTGGCACTAATAAATCTAGTAGCCTTTTCAAACGCTTCTCAAAGCAGAGTATTGAAAAGTAAACATCTGTGACATTTGCACATCCATCTACCACTCTCTCTCTCTCTCTGATCCCAACGTATTTCTTTTCCGCGTATTTTATTACTGTTGTCAAAATAATTTTAAAAAATTCTGCTGTCTACTCTGCGTGCTGTAACAGACATGCTTATACTCATCTGTTCGATAAAGATAAGAAATACAAAGAACATATCAATCATTCTATTCTTAGGTGAGATTGAACTTGTAGGGTGCAACATGACCTCTTACTCACTTGATTTATTACTTTTGACATGATGGCAAGTTTTAACAAATTTCTTTCATCGGCTGTTGTGTCACTGACCGGCAGTGTCAGCGATGTGTCGAAACATTGTAACAAAGTACCACTATCACTACCAATTGTTGTCGTCGATGTCAGTTTAAGTCGATCAATATATTCTCTACCGTCATTATTGAACATTAGTTTATCTTTTTTTATTTGATTGAAATTATCCAGATAGTCTGACTCTCGTTTTCTACTCATGATTTGAATGATGAACGAATGGATAATTATTCTTTTTACTCTAAAATTATTTCAGAATAATATTCTCGTGCATCTGATTAAAAGAAAAACGAGATATAAGAACAGATTTTTTTTTTAGATTTTTCTTTAACAAAAAAATAATAATAATAACAAGGAGAGAAGATGAAGAAAAAAAATGCATTATGTATGTTTGTACTGTTAGGCATAATAAAAAGAGAGAAAAAAATGTGCTCGAAAATATCATATTAAAAATGTACTACGAGTTTTATACGGTCAAAAAAACTAATTTACCCCCTGTTTTATTCAACGCGTGAGGGAGAAAAAAATGTTAAAAACGTGGAATAATATATCATATTATATTGAGGTACAATCAACATGCAGACTGTCTCTCTCTCTTAAATTACACATTTCATTTTTACCTGTTAGTTTGTATAAATACTATGTCCTTCTTTTTCTATT